GCGTTGAGGATGAGATAACTATCATACCCTCGTGCATTATGGGCTAGAAAAGTGAAATTTTTATTAAGAGGTCATCGAAAATGGAGAAGAAATTTCTTAGCGCAGTCGGTTCCGTACGCATGCCATTCCACCCCGTTCAGAGTTTTTGAACAGACTAGAAAAGGAATGTGTGTCCCGCTCTGATCGACAAATGATTCAAAATCATAAAAGACAAGCTTGTCATTAAGCTTTTTGTCCGGATCACTCTTTTGAATGTAGCATTGATGATCGTTCAGAGTTACATCTATGCCGGGAGGTACATTTTTTTCACCGCAGATTACGCATTTGATGCGCAAATGTGTTCAGTTTTTTCTTTAGCCAGAGAAACATAATATGATCTTTTACACGTGGAGCAGAATTTGATTATGTCACAATCACTCGCAAGCATTTCAGCACAAGGTCTGATGCGTTTTACCTTATGCAGTTCGAAGCATTTTGCGTTTCGACAAATTCTGTTACAGTCAGCGCAACGTACAGGTGTGTACAAAATGTGCGTGCAGGTGTACGTGCAGCAGACTCCACAATAACCGGTGCAGTGATGCGTGTTAGGCTTATTGTAACTGCTGTAACAAAATTTGCAGATATACCGGGATCCTGTAAAACCTGGCAGGTTTTTAATTCCGTAAAAATGCCCCTCGTGTAGCAGGAGAAAGCACGGATCTGATCGATTTTGAAAACCTGTTTCAAATTTATTGAAGGCGCCGATTTTCGAGGTTCGATGAAACACTACAATTTTTCTCTGTAGAATGTTTTCAAACTTAGCGACGTCACTAAGAGTAGCAGCTGTCTGGTCCGTTAACCCAGCCTGATGCTGCCACTTTCTGCCTTGTTCAAAAGCTTGCGCGTCTGTAAATTCCGGATGTGTTATGTGGGGCCAGATTTATTGCTAAACATAACTGGTTACCTGTATTTTCTAGAATATACAAGTGTCGCTTCTTCTTTTTAATTAATTCCGATTCCAGAGTTTTTTCAGCTTTGCATTTTGCTCCGCCACTGGGATTTTTAACTATTTGAAGAACTAATTCTAAATTATTTTGAGAAGGCAAGTCTGAATTAGACTGAACAAGCTCTTCTAAAAATTCTTCAAACGCAGGCAGAATTGTGTCATTTTCATCAACAGAAAAAGTCAGATGATGGAAAATATTATTTCCCCCCACTAATTCCAGCTGCAAAACATCATTGCGTGACACGATTGAACCAGCGGTGTTAGCCAGGTCAATTATAACGTTCATCACAGCTCTATAGAATTCAGCAAGATGCGGAAGGTTGTTGCCCGGAGGCGGGATAGACAATGATCTCCGTATTTCAATGTTATTAAAACGCTGACGTTCAACTCTCTGATTTGGGTTTAAATTACCCCCGTTTTGCTCCCAGTCATCATCATCATCATCGTCATCTGCAGCAGAGTTTGATTCTGTATTTTGTAACCCACCGTCCAATAAAACCAGATTTCGCGGGGATAAACAGCTATTTAGATGACAGACCGCCTCGTTAATTTGATTTAAATAATCGACAGCTTCGGGAGCGTTCCCGATTGCTGAAGTGAGAGCTGAACTCGCAGCATTTTCTAAGAAAAGATTTTCGCTATTTTCCTCACCATTCAAAGTTGCAGCAAGAGCCTGTAAATTATGGATTGTATCAACAATTTGCCTGGTATAATCTGATGGTTCAACTCTACTTTCTCGATCATCCATTCTTTTAATTAGTTATAAGAGACAGACATGAATTATTTTACAAGTTCATATGCATCGTCAACGATATCGAATAGAACTTCTCTGGCTGCCTTGAGCATGGTTTGACCCTTCACCCGATCATCCTTCTGGATCCTCCGTTTCCGTAACACAAAATAAGACTCTAAGAAAAAAAAATAAATAAATTACATAGAAATTAAAACTCGTAACAGTTATTAAATGTGATTTTTTTTAGTATAAAAATCCATTACCCTTCATCAATCCAAGCAGTAAGTCCACTCTGTCGTGAAGGCGTTCTGAGGCATACTTAATTCGCCGTCTCTCTCTTCTCGCTGTTAATTATAATAAAAACAATTAAATTAAAATGTAAATTAATTAACATAAATTAATTAAAATAATTAAATTAAAATTATACATAAACTTACCCTTGCGCGAAGAAGAAGGATTCCTTTCTCCACGAATCTTATCCTTTGATTCACTTTTTCGTTGGCGATTCTCGTTTTGCTCCCGCGCTGCGGGAATCTCGTCTGATTCAGGGTCAGATTGCTGCACCGCTGGGGATGGCGGGGGCGCTGGAGGGCCTGCAGGACCTGCAGGGCCTGCAGCAGCACTCAGCGGGATATTGGAGGCGTTAATAAACCCACTGGCAGTATCTCTTGATAATCATTGACCTCATCAACGACTTCATCATAGCCGGCTGCCTCGGGTAGAATTCCGGTTCATGTGACTCGGCTAGAACTTCTGGTTCATATGACTCGGTTTTCAGAATAAAGTTGTTATTAGACGCCTCTGACGAACGTGGGTCCGGGAGTTCTTTTGTCAGAAATGAAATCAGGCAATCAGAGAGAGAGAGAGAGAGAGAAGAAACGTTAACAAAAAAAAAAGCGATTCTCATTGATATATATATATTTGAAAAAAACCTTTTTTTTCTATAAAACTCTAGTTTCAGAGCTAAAACTAGTTATAACAAAAATAAGAAACTTTTACCGGCTCTGACCGAATCTGAAGTAGTCTCGCGTATCTCCTGGATCTCTGCGTCTATAGAACGACAGAATAATTAATTAATTAATTGATAAATTAATTAATTAATTAATTAATTAATTAATTTTCTGAATTCGATTATAAACAATAGTTAAATATAAAATTACCGCTTATATCATCGTAGGGAGAAAGACGTTTTCCGCGTCTTCACCCGCTGCACCTACAGAAAATAAAACAATAAACTATTGAGATAGAAAACATTTTTCGATATATTTTAATACAGAGATTTTTTTTTAAAAATAGAGAGAATTTTTTACTTACGTTTGAAAAGCGTAGCTTGGCCCTGCGAGCTTATTAAAGCAACAACCTGTTTCACACCAGAACCATACATGATTCAGAATAATACTTTTTTTCTTTTTAAACAAAAAGACTAGTTTACGAATTATGTTATACCGAAAGTAAGTCGGACTTCTCGCTGCTGCAGTTCTGATTCTCTAACGCGTGTGTCGCTCACAGATAACTGAAGGTAATTACTCTTTAGACAGCTCTCTCCACTGGTGCAAAACATCGTACGACATGACGAGAGCGGGGGGTGTTTTCTAAAAACATTTTCTTGTGTCTTTAAAAAAATATTCAGAGCGATAAACCGAGAAAAACAGATGTGGTCTGAATGCCCTCATGGAGGTCCATGGAGGTCCGGGGGGGATTTATCGGTCTGAATTCCCCCGAGGTGGCAAATTTGTCACTCTGATTGCAGCCTGCAAGTCTGCAAGTCTGCAACTAGTACTACATTCCTCTGCAAGTCGTATATCGATCAAGCCCCCAGCTCAGATCTGGAGAATCAGAAGTACCATCTCTGTCCCAAAATCTATATTTTTCAACTTCATTAGGTTTTAGTATATAATTATATACAATTTACTTGAAGTACAAATGAGAAACATTTACTGAAATGTATCACACACACACACACACACACACATACACACACACACACACACACACACACACACACACACAGACCATGTCAGTGAGAATGACCTCCATGCACAGTACATTCCTCTCGCAGGCCCTGCAGCCCATAGACCGTAGCTATATTGATCAAGCCCCCAGCTCAGACCCCAGTCGTAGGCCTGGCTGAACACAGGCACAGAATCAGAAGTAACATCTCCATTCCAAATCTATTTAAACTTCAGTAGGCATAGTATGTAATTATATACATTTTTATTTACTTGGTCAAATAACTGTTGTTGGTGCTGTATTACTCTTTAAAAAAAAAAAATCAATAGGAGGAGGAGGAGGAGGGGGCACGTCGTCACATTCGAAAGGGAGGGAGGGATGGGGTGGTTGTAAGGCGGGACTTCCGTTCATCTAAGGCGGACTTCCTGTGAAAGGGGCGTGGCACCTGTCAAAATGAAACTTGACGAGAGGGAGTTCCTATTGTCTCTCACATTTAGAAATGTTCATGAAATAAAATAGAGACAGACATGTGAATGTGACCAGATGTTCTGGTTACATCTGTTTAGAAAATGATCACAGATTTTAAATATTTCAGAAACCAGGACTGAGATTTTAATCTTTGAGTCTGTTGAGGAAATTTCTGTTATCAAAGAAAGAATCCATTCAATAATTAAATAATCTTTGTCTTTATTCTATTTCAAGGTGAAAGTGTTCATAGACTCACTGAACTGAACATCATGATTATAGAAGAACTGAGTGCAGGTCATGAAACTGACCCTGAACTCACTGCAGGAAACAAACAGAAAAACAACAAATTTTAGAGGAAAAAACTCAAAACCATGAATGACAGGAAATAAGAGACTCATTAAAATCCTCTAGTTTCTCCTGAATGTGATCTGAACTCATAGCAGAGCTTTCATGACAAAACATTCATAAAAACAATCCAGATTCAGACATAATAACATTAAAGTCAAAATATTGACTGTTTTTGGGTTTTCTGTACTTATTATCAGAACCACATCACTGCTGAAAATACTAAAATCAGACAAATATTTATATTTCCATGTCATGAACATACATGTGATGTTCTGCTGACATTCTGCATCATCAGTGCAGCTGTGCACCAGTCAGCAGGAAGGAGATGAATTATAGTTACATTCAATGCAAAACTGCTTGTTTATGTATTAGAGTACATTTTATGTATAAACGTAGAGTTACTGATGACTCTGTATGACACATTAACATCATCATCATCAATATCATCATTATCATATTAAAATGAGCCAGACTCCAGCCGGGTCCTGATGTTCGGTCCGGTTTGGGTCCAAACAGCTAATGGCTCTGATACACATATAATGAAACTAGAGTCAGCAGCAAAGCGAATGCCAGATACGTCCACTTCCTCCTCTTCTGGTAGAAGTCCTCCTGCAGCTTCCTGTTGCGGGCCCGCTCCTCCTCCAGGTTCTGCCTGGTCTCCTGCAGGTTCTGCTTCAGGTCCTGGTGCATTCGCTCCAGGATGCCGGCCTTCTCTCTGTCCCAAGCGTCCCGCTCCCTGATCCGCTCTCGTCTGCACTGATCCAGCCTCTGCTCAGCCGCCTCTCTTTGCTCTCGCTCAACTTTCACTCGGTTTTCTGAAGCATCTAGTTTTTGTCTCCACTCTTTTCGCTGCAGTTCTTCCTGTTTTCTCCAGTTTTTTTCCTCTTCTTCACGCTCCTTCTTTCTCTTCTTTCCTTCACTCTCCATTATTTCATCCTTTTCTTCCAGCTGTTTTCTTTGCTGCTCATGTTGAGATTGCAGAGTTTTAATATCGTCTCTGTGTTTCTTCTTCAGCTCTTCTTCCCTTTTCTTTACTTCTTCTGTCTCTTTCCTGAGTTGTTTTGTTGTCTGTTGCTCATCTTCACTCTTCTGTTTCACATCCTGTAGTTCTGCTTCAACTTTTAAAATCCTCTCAATCAGCACCTTGGTGAACAGGTCTGTTGAGAAAACGCTGGACGTTTCACCACAAATCGTCTCCAGCGTCTCCATCAGTTCTGGGATCTGCCGTCTGTCTCTGATGTCCAGAACTAAATATCTTCCTCCACAGATCTGGAGGAGATCCTGGATGTGTCTGTTCTCCTTTATAAAGTTCCCAACAGCTGGATGTTTAGGGTCTGACTCCACAGTGAAGAGGATGGTGGTGAAGTCATTGACTCTGGAGCTGAATGTGTCCTGGATGGTGTGTAACTCTCCCTTGTCTTCATCAGTGAGGGGACCCACAGGCAGGACCAGGATGAAGGCGTGGACACCCTCAGGATCACAGAGGGAGACACACCTGAAGGATTCCTCCATCACTTCCTGCTGAGCTTTTCCATCCAAGGCAGGCAGCTGCACCAGAGAAACCCCACGTCCAAACACCTCTCCCTGCTTCCTGAGCCTCTCTGGAGGAAGATCTGGCTGACCTAGGATGACCTTGGCTGCTGCCGTCTTCAGTGGTTCTCTTGAGCCAAACAGAACCAGGTTCAGAGGTTTGCGTTTCTCAGCCACAGTTAAACCTTCATCCTTCTGCTCAGACACTGGAAATAAAAATGAGAGAAAGTCTGAGTGGAAAAGATAAAACCAGGAAGCTGGAAATCACTTCAGCTTCTCTAAAAAGTTTTAAAAATCCTCCAGAACTCAGAACGTCCTCACCAACTCAATTCTCAAATCCAATATGGCTGCCATTTATTTAACATGTAGAGTTAAATAATAATAAATCATGCACTGCTAAGTTTGGATGCATTAGCAGACAGCGGCTACTGGTTTCTACTGGAACACACACCCACTGGGTGTGACATTCACTGATCTGCACTCTCATTGGTTTGGTGAATAGAAAGCCAATTTTATGCATTTGCTACAGTTTGTTAGTTTATTATATTTTAAGTACAATTCAGACTAAATCCATACTAAGATGCTTTTCTTCCCACTGTCGCCTCATGCATCTTCAGCATGATGTTGCTGTAATTCTGTGTCGGCCATCTTTAATTACATCCCCTGTATCAAATACCAATATTCTCAGTCTCTCATTAATTCATATATTTTCCAGTTTTAGGTCAGTTAAGATTAATAAAGTGGCCAAACATCATAATAACATTATATAAGTTTATTTTAGAGACACTTCAGATAAACTAAATTCTCTGTATGTTTAAACAATTTGGTAAATCCAAGATGATGTCAGTTTTCTAAGTTTATGGAAGCTTTTCAGTGACATCAAGCAGAATCAGAGAAAACAGGAGACAGTTATGGAACAGATTTATGAAACATTATGAATCTGAACTGTATATTTCTTTAATATGTAATTTTTCATCTTCAAAAGCACCAACTATACAGACTGATCTAGAAATGATTATCTGGACTCATTTCAGTCGTACTCACTGTCTGGATGCAGCAGGTCGTTGCTACTGTAGCGCTTCAACGGTTCCACAACATCTGGCACTGAAAAGGTAAAAACACCTGAGTTATTATCAGATAATCCTCATAACATCTGACCACTGCAGTCCTCAAAGACACAACTTTCATCTGAGCCTCCGCTGCAGCTGAATCCAATAATGAGGTCATGAAGGCTCTGGAGAGCTGATCACAAAAGGAGGAGGTAATCAAGCCGTTTCATTCCAGCGTTTTGTCCCTGTGGCACATGGAAAACCTGCAGGACACGGTGAGGACTGGAGTTTGATACCCGGGTCTTAGAATAACATCCTGCTGGTTATTGTTAGTGGAGAAAAAGGAATCAGGTTGAGCAGGTCGAGGTCTGAAGTTAATGTGCTTCATTCAGGACTTGAACATGTTTCCTCTGAAAGTTGAACTCAGACTCTTTAGCTTGGAGAAGAAAAAACCTCAGAGAAACTTTTCACAGAACCAGAACCATTCAGCCACCATTTTGATTTTGAAGTTTGACAAAGTTCCTGGTGTAGGATGACGTATTATTGTGTGTAAATATGAAATGCGTTTTCTGTTTATGATGTGTGAGTGTTTGGTATTCATTTTGCAGTTCCACAGCTGATAACGGGTCAGTGTGTTGCTTAAAGTTCAGTTGGTCTGAATCCAGAACCAGTGGAGTTCAGTGGAGATGAACATCGTTTTATTCATCCAGAATAAAAACGGTAAAACGGTTTGGTTCCATAATCACCTGCTTCAGTTTTTCATTATCAGTCATATGGATCTGGCAGCCAAAGCAAAGTGATGTTCAGTCAGTTATATGGATGAGATGGAAACAGTTCAAAGTCTCTTTCATTTTGAATAAATAAAATCATGTGTGTCTGTCAGAGTGGAGTCGTTCCTCACCAGGTTCTGCAGACGCCATGACGCCACGTTGCTCTGGTCACCAGACGATTCAGATTCCTTCAAGATTTAAAATACAAAACATGCAAATCAATTATTTTCACATCAGTGCAACAAAATATACAAATATAGAAAACATGACTTCAGAGATAAACAGAAAACAGAAGTCATGATGATGAAAATGATCGGTTCTGCTCTCATCACCAACCAGAACAGGAAGTCCAGAGTTCATTCAGTCGATGCAGAAGAAAAACTCCTCCATGTTTCCAGATCTCCACATCTGCTGTTCCTGCAGGCTCCAGGAGAGGGCGCTGTTCCAGAGGGAAGAACCAGGAGAACCGGATCAGAACCAGTCAGTACTGAGGCTTACATATTAACTATTCTAAGAAGACCTGAAGGATCAAAATGTCTGCAGATGGAAATGAACCAATCAGATCAGCTGAGCTGGAACCAAGCAGGAAAACCCGGAAACAGGTCCAAATATTAATGTTCTGGAATCTGGGTCAACATTAAATACTGATTCAATGTTTGTTTGTTTCTGAGATTGTTGCCCAAAACATCAGAGAGCAAAACCCAGAAGTTTCATCAGAATAATAAAAAAGAGAAGCAAACAGCAGCAGAATGTGAAACCAGTAAACCGTAAACTAACTACACTGAGTTTCTACTGGAAGACAATCCAAATACTTTAGTATGAGTACTAGTATTGGTATTAGTACTGGTATTAGTAGTTTGAGTGTAAATGAGTTATGTAACTATACGTGTCACATGTTTCCTCTTCCATTGAGTTCACTGAGTCTCTTTTAAAATATTGATTTATTGGCTTTAAATCAGAATATTTGCTGTTCACAGGTTAAAACATCCTAATAAATTCTCTGTTCCAGCGTTAAAACAAACTGAGACACATGCAGTTTTATTTCCCGTCATGTTTCCTCTCTGCTGAAGTTCAGCTCGTCATTAGTGACTTTAGTGGATCAAGTTTGGTTTTTCTGCAGAGTCACATCTGGTCAAGTTTTCTATAAACCTCCTCCGACAGAATCCTGACTCTTTCTCCTGTTTCTGTGCAGGAAGCAAACATGTCCCCTTTAAGGACTGTGTATCACCTTTAAGGACTGTGTATAACCTTTAAGGATTGTGTATTATCTGTCGGTGGACATTTTAAAAAGACGCCAGTTGACAGCAGCTCACTGCGGCTGCGCAGTCCGTCTCTGGGCAACCGTGACAACAGCATCAGTTTTATGTCCTATTTCGGTCCAGCAATGACCTTAATAACCCCGCGTTTTGTTTTGGTCATTATTATTACATTATAGTTGAGATGTGTGTGTCTATCAGCCATTTGTAGCAATAATGAATAAATTATGTTTAATTCGGAGCGGAAACAGCAACAAGCAGCTGCTATTGTAGCCTAGCTTACGGCTAATGTTTCCAGCTCTGACTTCACTCACCTTCTGTCTTTCAACCTCTTTGAAAAGCTTTTCTTTGTCCCTCCAGCTTTTCTTTGTCTCTCCAGCTTTTCTTTGTCCCTCTTCCGTGTTCAGTTTCCTGCCCTGGAGTTTATTCTGCCCCCGTCTTTAGCTCCCAGTTGCCCGGTTCATTACTACAAATGAAGTTAAAGTCAAACCGCCTCAGCGCGTCTCTAAGGGCCGCTGGCCCTCAGAGCTGCAGCTCCCTGCTTGGAGGGAGAACTTCCTGATCAGCGCTGGTCCTCTGGTACCGGCTGGTCCTCTGGTACCGGCTGGTCCTCTGGTACCGGCTGGTCCTCTGGTACCGGCTCTGGTATCGATCATTTCATACACAAACAGCTGGTAAGTTCATAGAACGCTGACTGGAAAACAATCCCCCTCTAGAGCAGCGCCCCCATGCGTTGCACACAGAGCATAGCCACCTTTAGTGTTTCTGTCACATTATCAAACTTTACTCACCGTATGCGCTCCTTCCCACCCAACCGCTAGGGGGTGCATTTGGACATCATTTAAAAGGTTCCTGGCATTTGTATCGGTTTTTTTCCAACAGACTTTTTTTCACGGCAACCGGAAACTATATTTGAAAGGGCTGCGGCACTTCCTGTTTTGGTGACTGTAATTCAAGTACTCTGAAAAATGGCTCTCCTCCTCCGGTCCTTTTCATCGTCCTTACTTAATTGAATGAAAATATATACAATGTACCATGTTAATTAGACCTTTACCTGCGGATGGATGTGCCATATAATGATGGTCCGCAGTAGCATCTTTAGCCTGTTAGCTTTCTGAGAGGACAAACTGCCGTTTCTTAGCGCTCTCGAAAGCAGTCTCTCTCATTGCCGGTGCAGTGAAGTTATTCCAGGCAAACGGGGAAGGAACAGCCCCACTTCTAAGGCGGCTGGTGGTGGATCCGCTAACAAAATCCTCCGGTGTGAAGTGGCGGCTACATACGAAACTGCTCCCCGTCTTTATGCAAAAGTCCGGACCTTCATCTCTTCGGATCGCCTGGATCCACTGCCTCGGTTGGTCCATGTCCGTCGGGAACGCATGATAGGACAGATACGGCTGTTTTCTTGCCCCACATGAACAACCAGGGACTGAACAAAATCAACTGCACCGAGACTGAAGTTGTCCAACCCCACATCCGCTTTAAAACCCGGAAGCGTGAAAAAGTAAAGTTTCCTACTGATTAAAATACGTTTATTTAGGTAATAAAAATATAAAACCAAACATTTTTTCAGTACTTCAGATTGTCGTAACGTGGATAATGGAAAAACCACTGAAATGTTTGCTTTCATAGATTCACTAATAGAAAATAAAATCATTTAAAGATCAGAAAATGTATGAATAAGGATAAATTTATTTCCATTAAAAATAAATATTAGACTTTAGAATTTTGAACAATAAGTCAAAATATCTTCAGTTTTTAGTTTCATAAATGTAAATAAAAAAAGTTTTACAAAGAAAAACAAATTACTTCAGAGAATATAAATCATCTTAAATAGATTAGTTTCTTATTTTAATCTTTGGTGATACTGAACTCTTGTCATGAAGTATTAATGTCACTCTTATTTATCACCAAATCAATACGAGTCCATTTAAATTCAGTTCAGTTCAATAGAGTCAATATTTTATAAAATACTCATAGATCAGTAAGAAAATGTTTCCAATTAGTTATTTGTCAAATAATTAAAGATACTTTTCATCTTTCCTATATTTCCCAACTAAAATGTATTTGTTTTATTTGTCTGATGTAATATTTTAATTCTACATGTTATGTTTATTTCGCTGCAAACAGAAAATCTTAATGATGACCAGAAATAAAGGCTTGAAAACATCAGTTTATATGGAACCAATTTAATGTACCAACGTTCAGTGATGGACTTATTGAAACACATACATTTTGCAAACATAATGTGCACACATCAAAACATCAAATTTAAATAAATAATGTGAATTATATTACTGAGTTTAATACAGTCTGATGCTTCACATTGATAATTTATAAACTTTAGTGGAAAATTCAACAACTACAGGTGTACTATATTATAACACACTCATGTGTAAGACGATGGATGGAGGGAAAACATCATTAGGGCCAAGAAACATACAGTATATAAGCCAGAGACAAAAAACATACAAATGAGAAACATTTACTGAAATGTATCACAGTAGCAAGAGTTACAGAAAAAAAATCTATAAGAGTTTAAAATTTAAGTGACAGTTTTTGAAACAGATGAAGGAAATTACAAACTAATCGTGCTCCCATAAATAATGCAGTAAAACAGTTAAACTGAAGGTTTTCTTTAGAGGAATGTTTTACTGTTATGCTCTGACACACAAATAGAGAAAAACCTTAGGTAATTACAAAATCTAATTTTCTCTAGGAAAGGTGACAAACTACTGACAGAATTAGTAAGTTTCTGATCATTGTTAGATACGTTCTAAAGGTTAATTTGTTAAAGTGTGTGAGACGTAGGTGACCTTTCTTTAACCTTAAACATGTTTTAACAGATGGTCATAATTCTCTTTAGTTGTAAAACTGTCTCTGTTTACTTTCTGTGCTCCGTCTTTTCCTCATCAGGAGAGCCCCCTTTATTTCCTTCAATAAAAGACCAGTTCTGAAAACAAAGGCCAGAACATCTGCTGGAAGAAGGAGCTTTTCTATGTCTTCTCCTTTTGCAAAAGAATTGATCTAAATTAACATCATCTGTGGTAGCTAGGTAAACAAAATACCTATCAACTATATATTATTCTACATACTGATGACCACTTATTGTTTTTCATACTTTAATTGTGTTGTACCTCAGAGTAGCCACACTGAGCACCAGAGCCATCAACCCTCCCCTTTGGCCTTTGTCAGTTTGTCACTGTCTCCATATGGTTTACCAAAACACAGTGTCACACAGATGAGACTAACTCATGTTGAAGGAATGTTTATTAGAGAGCACATCCTGTCACCGGAAATTAAAACCATTTAATGATTAAAGTCATAAATCAGTCCACCAATTAAATGTTGTCATAAGGGTGTCTTTATTTCTCTCTCCTTTAAGGTTTGGTTTAATCTCTTAAGTTTAACCAACATTAATCTAAAGAAGCCATTTCAACCATCCTCAGCCTCAGAGACACAAACGTAGCATAAAACACACAGAGTGAACTAGATGTGGCTTCTTTAATGTTAGATGGGTTTCTAATACTGTAACCAGAGAAGAGATTCTGATCATAGAATAGTTTTTGTCTTCCAGATAAGAAAAAATGCAAACTGCTAAAATATCAAACTGTGGAGCTAAACTCCCAGCAGCCTGAGAGAAGAAGGTTAAACTGATAATAATTTAACCTGTTATTATCAGGTTAAACTGACCAAATTCAGGAAGAAACTGAATCATGATTTTCTTCCTTTTCTTCGCAAGAAAATGATTATTTTCTTCCTTTAAATCTCAGAATGGAGATGAACCGAAGACATTTTCCATAATGTCTATGAACACTGGGCTGAGTACGTTGGTGACGGTTACGTTGCCCATCTGCTGGGACCAGACAGAGAGTCCAGTCCAAACTGGTGCTAACAGAACAGAAGCCAGTTTGTTTTCTTTTTTTGAAGGAAACTTGTTGTTCATCTCCATTAACCTTCCAGTGGTGAAGCAGAAGCTGCTGGTGGTGGTTTCCTCATCGATGACATCATGGATGACATCGAGTCCCAGCAGGTACGTCTGGGGAAAATTACTACCTCAGAAAAACGCTTCTGATTCTTCACTAACGGGACATTAAAAAGTCTAAGGAATCTGGAGAACATCTCACAGTCACAACATCTAAGTCACATGTGTCAAAGTCGAGGTCCGGGGGCCAAATTTGGCCCACTGTAGCTTCTTATGTGGCCCTCAGCTCCAAATCACATCAGTAAGTTCCTCCAGTTTTTCACAAATCTGCAAAATTCACTAAATCAACACATTCCAACATTTTATCTGATTTTACTGGAAATTTTTCTCAAAATTGGCCAAAAACTTTGAGTTTAAGTGACTGTGCCTCATCTTTGATGTCAAGCTGTAGTCAGTGATCAATACAGCGATTAATAAAAAGTCACATTTAACATCATACAGGAGAGCAAATATAAAGAATCCTTACAGATATTCCTAAATTAGCATCACAAAATCTGAGATTTTAATGGCAAAAAAATAAAAAAGGATTTTTGCTGATCGCAAAATCCTGGATGGACTGATCAGTGTGGAAAGATGTTCAGTATTATTTAAAGCTGAAACAAACAGTGATTTTTGATATTTTAACAGTTTGATGATTTTTATCGATGCTTTCTGACACAACCAGCCTTTAAGAACATTCAGGTTTTTGATAAGGCCCAAATTGAAAGTGGTGTTTCATTTTCTCTAAAGTCATTATAATTATTTAACTTTCTTAAGCTGAAACATCTGAATTTCACATTAGTTCTCTCTAAACGTCAAATTCAAAGGAGCCTCTAGATTTGAAATTAGTTTTTTAACAGATTTTTCTCATGGTTTTCAATAATAAATGTATTTATTTAACTTTAGTCATTCATACTGTCGTGCTTTTGGTGCCCGGTGTGATGGAGGCGTGTGGGCAGGTGAAGATATACAAGAACAAAGGGTCTCTTACATCAACTTTACTTCTGTAAAGCTGGACTCTGACGGCTGTGTGACAGGAGGATGCTATTGAAGCATCAACGTCTTCCACCCACTCCACCATTCGCTGGTCAAACACAGGAACTCTGAGGAGAAAAGTGATTCCACCGTGTCCTCTGTGGTCTGTGTTTCTGACCACAGAGGACACAGAAAGTCATTCCTACCTGTTGTGAAACATCTTTAAAAATGTCTGTGGATAACCAACATTATGTGCAATAAATTGAATTACAACCAAACGTATTACTACAACTCCCCTTAAACTCTTCACAATACATTAGGACTTCAATGTGTCATTTTTGATTAATTAACTACACTGACTTTTAACACAATCAATTGCTTTTTATTATTATTATTATTATTATTTTTTACATTATAAAGTTTCTCAAGCCAGAAACTTTGCATTGTGTAAATTTGATGCACGGCAAAGATCCTCTAAAAGCCTTGATGGATGATGAAGCCATTTCTCTCGGCTCGCTGGGTTCTGATTTCTGGTTCTAAACTGACCTGATTGGATAAAGGAACAGACTGTTGTTGCGTTCACGTTGTGCTAAAAGGAATTAGCCTGTTAGAGAAGCTATTCAAGCCTAAAATAACATCTTGATGCTGAACCTGATGCCAGCTTCCCATGACTGGCCTGGGAAGCTCTGTTGCCTCAAGAACAAATTATAAAATATTAATATTTGTGTTGCTGAACTTATATGTCTATTTAGTCAGTAATCTTCCAATTTTATGAGTTTTGAGCTGGACTTTTTCTTTTTTGTGATATATAGTTTTAAATCAACATGAGATTAATTGCAATCAATTAATTACGGACGCTGCTATTAACTCAATGTTCTTGTTAAATTGGGTTCCACCTCTGCCATGTTGTTGGCAGATCCCGTCCCTGATCCCTCAGCAGATCTCCACATGTTGAAAACGGTTTTTCATTGTTCATCCTGACTCCATCCTGGCAAAGGGTCACATGTTACATTTTGAATAAAGACAAAAATTGATATTTAGTCCAGGAAACCTGATGTCATTTTTATTTCACAATACAGAATAACACACATTTGCAAAATAATAAAAAAGGAATTAGTACATTTCCTTTTAAGGGATGTTTATATATGAAAAATGTTTTAGAAAACATACAGTTCCTAACCCCAGATTAATAAATTCAAAACAATGTTAATACAGCTTTGTCATTCTATTCAATGTATTGATTTATTATTTATGTATTAAGAAAATTATCCGTCTGATGTTTTGCTCTGTTCTCTGACTCACTGATCATGGATTATAGATCAGTTATTTCTCTTTTAGCTCAAAGTCCTGCAGTGACAATATACACATCATAATGGCTTTTACAAAATGAAAATGTTAATTTTACATACATGTCAACATTTTTCACAATATTCTCAACATTTGAAAAATTAAGCTCATAACAGATTCTTCATTTTTATAAGCAGAGCAACATTTGAACTTTTAATGCTTCAATATTATTTTATCTACAAAAGAAAAGAAAATGGTTACTGAATCATTTACATTTTTAACACTTTGATCATTATAAGCAGCTATGAAATATTAAATTGTTTAGTTTTCAGTCATTCATGATTTGAACAGACTTGCTGCAACAAGCTTTATTTGATGAGGTGTGCAAAAATACCAGGAATCTTTTAATAGATTTATATTCAATGCAACTTTTAGTTCAACATTATGTTAAAAGTGTCATTATTTAGCAAATCAGAACCATTCATGAAGACTCCTCCATGTTCATGTCAGTCTCATGCACAACCTTCAGGTTTTCATGGTTGTTTTCATTTATCTGCAGGCAGAGAGCAGAAAATCCCCCAGAACATCTGGTGACCCGCGCAGCGCAGCGTCTGACCCACACTCATAAAGATTCATGTCTGTAACATTTTCTGAAAATAACCAATATTAATGTTAAGGCAGAAACAAATGAGATCACCTTTCAGAGTTCAACTGACAGTTCATTTCTTCTTCCATGTTTACTTACTGTTTTATGACATAATAATAATGTCTGACTGTTTTCATGAGGATAAATTATTACTGTGTTTTGCATGTCTTCTGAAAGTGTTTAACTATTGGTATGTAAGGGTTTAAAACTTTAACCATTCCTTTGATCTCTGCTTGTTTTCTGACTCCTTCCCTCAGTTTCTGTCTCATATCTTCCATGTCTTTCTGGTGTTTCTGCTCCAGTTCTTTGAACTCATTTTCATGCAGTTCTTTTGATGTTTTCTCTTTTACCATTGTCACATATATTTCTTTCTCTTGTTCATATTTGTCTTTGAGGTTATTAATTCTCATCTCCTCCCTCAGTTGTCTCTGTTTTTCTTCCTCGCGTCTCTTTTCAGGTCCTTCTTGTCGTTCCTCGTCCATCAGCCTTAATTTCTCTTCCAGTTCTCTTCTTTTTATCTCCAATGATTCATCAGCAGCTTCTCCTTTTACTCCTGATTCCATCTTTTCCTCTAAAACTGCCAGCTCCTCCATCAACAGTATCTTTTCCTTTTCTTCTTGAATTTTCCTCCACTTCTCTTTTTTCTCCCAGTATTTTGGTTCTTTCTTTCTCAGCTCAGTTTCTCTGCTGATCTCTTCCTCTATTTCCTGCAGTATTTTTCTCTGCTGATCGATTTCTTTCTCCAGTCTTCTCTTCATGGCCTCTTTTTCTGCTGCATGGTTTCTCTCAAGCTCTTTGACCTTCTTGTTTATTTCTTCTTCTCTCTGATTTGCAATGTTCTGCATTTCCTTCTGAATAGCAGCTTCAGCCGCCTGCAGCATCTCATTGGTGTAGAAACTTCCTCCATTTTCTTTCACCATGTCGTCAATCTTTCTGATCAGCTCTCTGACCTGAGATCGGTTTCCTACTTCCTTATTGTTAAACACATGATATCTTCCTCCACAGTCAGCGATCAGCTTCCTGAAAGAATCATCACTGTCCTTTTCAATATAATCTTCAATGCGGCCGTTATGTTCTAACAAATCTCTTCCAGTTAACAGAACGATGGTGAACTTTGCAGAATCCTTTCCAAAGGTTTTCTTGATCATTTCTATCGTCTCTTTCTCCTCTGGTGTGAATCTGCCGATCTTTACAACCAGCAGGAAGACATGAGGACCTGGAGCTACGAGAGTAACACAACCTTCCAGCTCATCCTGAATCTGTTTAAGACTCATACTGTTGTCAAAAAGTCCAGGTGTGTCCACCACAAACACCGACCGTCCATCTATTTCAGTCTTTTCCTTCACACATTGCTTTGTAACTGATCTCTGACTCGGTTTAGCTTCAAACTCTTTTCTTCCCAGGATGGTGTTTCCTGATGAACTCTTTCCACTGCCGGTTTTCCCGATCAGAACGATTCTGATGTTGTTTGGATTTTCTTTAACACCTGTGAGAAAAATACATGAAAAAGAACAAGTCAGAGAAACACACAGGAAAGATGAACCAAAACTGAACCTGACTGATGCTTTAACAAGAAGTTTTAAACCTGTAGAGGAAGAGAAAACGATCCAGTGCTAATGAACAACTTCCAACTCCTGATTCATGCAACCATTTTGAAATGGACAGATAGATGCAGATATGGACACAAGGACAACATCAACATACGTACATTCTCTCTGAATGTTTGTACTTGTGCTTTTCTGTTTGTATATGGATATGTGGATCTGCTGTTTGCATGTAAAGGATGTTGACATCATTCTGCAAGAGGTCAATATGTCAGAAAGAGACAGGAGTCAGTTGATGCTGTTCAGTTTGAAGTTACTTTATGAAAACCTTATGATGACTCTTATAGGACCTTTTTAACTATTAATGCTCAGATATTTCCTGGAGCTTTGTGTGGCTTATCTTTTTTTTGTGTGGTTTATAGTTGGGATTTAATTCAACTTAACAGTGATTTTTCCTACACATTTATTTCTAGAAGCTGCAATTTATCACAGGGTAAAGTGTGAAAACATGCCACTCTGGTTTAACCTGAAGCTACTTTATCAACTGAAAATACAATAAAATTTTCCTTGAAACTGATAAATTATAACAGTTATCATTTTCATCTATAACCAGGCAGTTAACCTGAAAGCACACTGAGCCCTGAACTTGAGTTTTCACTGTGTTTTCTGAAAACGTCTCTGCACTGCGCAACATAACATGATACCGGATCACAGAACCGGTGCAGGATGAAGAATAAGCTTCAATCCTGAGGAACATGTGGAGAATGATGTTTGATGCAGTTTAGTAAATCAGATGATTGGGAACAGAAAGAGATTAAACTGGCAGAATGAGAAAATATAATAATTAACAAAGAGAAACTTCAAAAGTAGCAGAAGAAAACGAAACCCATCAGAATCCAATCTGCACAATGAACAGAACACAATAATAACAAAGAAACAAAAACACAGGAACAAACTGATCAGGCAAGAACAAATACCAGGGTCAGAACCAAATATAGTAATAAATGGTGCTGTAGTGATAGATCTGGTTCTGACATCACAACAATAACAACAATAACATCTCTTCAGAGTTTGGACCAAACTGATGTATTTAGAAACTTTTGATTGAATCAAATTTTTTATCCTCATATATCTTCTGTAATTTCTGGACACTTTTCAGCAGCCAGACCAAAAATCATACCTGTCCACATCGACATGAAGGGGTTCTGGCTGACGACTGGTTTGGGTTTCTGGTTCTGCCAGGCAGAATCTTGGACCGGCGGCGGCAGTGACGGTGGAGGCAGTGACGGTGGCATCTGGGGGGCTACAAGACCACAAAAAGGCTTTTGGTGACACTGGAGTTGATTCTCCCTCCCACATTTTAACAAAAATAAATGTATGTAGAAAAAAGCATCAGATGGATGTTTTGAAAATTAACTGCACTGTTTTCAGCAAGTGATGTAAAAATACTTGAATTGCATTACAGCAACCAAATATTACAGCATTGCAGCTGCTGATCAGCTTTCTGGGTGTTTCCTCTGGTGATGAGCTCCAACTCTTTCAGAATAAAAGACCTCCTGACCATCACCCTAACCTTCATCTCTCTCATGTTTGTCATCATTTGAACGTCAGGATCCAAAACATTGATCGGGCCTCCAGTCAGAAAGCAGCATAACTGTCTAAATTAAAAATATTTACAGCATCAACATGCATTTGGTGCATTAATCCGTCCCTCGTTCTACTTATTTGCTATTTTTACACATCAAAAATCCAGGATGAATTATTTCCATCCTTGTCAGCAGCATCTTTACTGAGCAGGTTTAATTTTACTTTAAAATCATAATGATTGTAGAGATAAATATAGTTTATGAACATTCAGATCCTACATGACATTTGACCTTTAGTCCCTCCCCACAGTGACTCATTATTTCCTTCTGATTCTGATCCTGATGGCATGTTATAAACGATCAATCAGAATGTTTCCTGGCCCATTTTCTACTGTTCACAATGTTAAATTATTATAGAAACAGTCTCCATATTTGCTGAGGGAGGAATCTTACCTCCAGGCATTGAAACGAAGGTTTTGACTCCGTGTCTTGGTTCTGGCCGGCGGTCCGGCCAGCGGTCCGGCCGGGGCGGCAGGCGCGGTGGAAACCGGGATGAGGACCGGGGCGGCGGCTGCGGCTGCGGTTCCTTCAACTCAAACGCTATAAGACCACAAACATGTCAAACTTTCTCCAGTGAAGCAAGGAGAGCAGAAACTCTGCTATGTTTTATTTATGTTTGTTTTATGTAAAAATGCTTCTACATATTTGTATTATTGCAATATGATCAAGTATTAAAAATATTTGGTTAATGCACACGATTACAAAACAACTCACTTTTAATGTTCATGAGAGCAAAAGTTTGAACTGTGGATTAATTAGAAAAACTTTTATAAAAGTATTTTTATGTAACCTTTTTTATTTATCCATTTACCAATAATGAAAAAAAATGGATTATTTCAAACAAAAAAGTTCCTTTATTTAGATATTTATTCTTTAAATAAAATCATCCCACCAAAAAAAAGTTTTTCAAGCTATAAAACTGAAGAGTCATTTTCAGCATAAACAAATTAAGTTTCTGTTTTCTGTTAACCAATAACGAGTCCTGAATATCCATAATATCCGATATGATGAGACTGACCTGGAAATGAAAAAGCTTCAGTATTTGACTCACAGTGGGACCGTCGAGCCTCCAGGCTGTTGCTGCGTCGCTCAGGTCTGACATGATCTACAACAAAAATACAGCAATTAAGTTACAAACTAAATCTGTTCCATCATTGGGAAATGTCTACATATAGTGCAATATTATGTTATTTTCATCTCACTGCTAAATAAAATCTTACCAAATTCAGATATGACGTTGTACAGGTGGGATTGATCTGCCAGGAAAAAAGTTTGACTGTATTTTATTTTAATTGTTAACATGATAATAAAGTTTCTAAGTGTTATGAACAAAACTTTTGTCAACAAAAACCAAAAAATATTATTTGCATTACCTCTCATTATAACTCAGATTTGTGCTGAATTACACAATAATCTAATAAAATGATTCTTTAATGTAAATAAAATGAACTAAATACATTTTAATGCTGTGAATCTGTTTTCTGGACCAGAACTTGTGACTAATGACAAAATGAAAAAGCCTCTTGCTTTTCATAAATCCTGTCATCAGGATTTAGTTTCTCTTTAGAGCATGAATATCATTTATTAACTGACCAGCAACAACTGGAGTCCAGTAAATATAAAGAGGATTACTGCAGACAACAAGGTTTTACAGTCAAGATCATCAGTCCAAACATAAAGGACGGCATTTTATAGTCATTATATTTACAGGAATCTAACCTTCACACACTGTTCTCTGGCTGCTGCTTGGTTCTGGCTGCTGGGTCTCCATGACACCAACCTGGACTGGCGGCTGCTGAGAGACTGCAAGACCACAATCAGACTGACCACAATCAGACTGACCACAATCAGACTGACCACAATCAGACTGACCACAATGAGACTGACCACAATCAGAACTGACCACAATCACAACTGACCACAATCACAACTGACCACAATCAGACTGACCACAATCAGACTGACCACAATCACAACTGACCACAATCAGACTGACCACAATCAGACTGACCACAATCAGACTGACCACAATCAGACTGACCACAATCAGAACTGACCACAATCACAACTGACCACAATCACAACTGACCACAATCAGACTGACCACAATCAGACTGACCACAATCAGAACTGACCACAATCACAAACTGACCACAATCACAACTGACCACAATCAGACTGACCACAATCAGACTGACCACAATCACAACTGACCACAATCAGACTGACCACAATCAGACTGACCACAATCAGACTGACCACAATCAGACTGACTGCATCACAGCTGGGTCAACTCATCAACTCCATTCAGAAAGTTCAACAGCAGCATCACTGGATCTGCTGTCAAACTAAACTGCAAAGTGGCAACAGCCAAACTGGGAAGTTCCCAAAACCTCAACTGGTCACTGATGTGAATAAAATCAGGTTTTGATTTTGACTTTTAACCCTTTTAAGTGATTATTATGTTATTGAAGTGTTTCATATATATACATATATATATTGTATCAGTTATGGTTATGCATTCACACAAAATGTGGATTGAATTCTAAAACCGTTTCAAGTTTTTGCTCAAGTCAAAGCAGGAGCTCCAGTAAAGAGACGAAGTGAAACGCCTGCATGTCTTCTCCATGTCTGGCAGTGAGAAGCTTCATAAATAGACATTAAATTTGACTTTTTTCCTGAGAGTGTCTATGCTGGCAGGTCAAAAAGCTAAATGCTATTCATTAAACAGTTTGTTTAAAAATGTATTCAACAATGGAAGCACCATCCAGTCATAATGATAGATATGAAACAGAAATGAATGTTGAACTCACAGCTTGGCCGAATAAACTTCATGCTGTTTTGGCTCCTCTCAGTCCTGAGATTGCGCTCTATGACAGAAACACAGCAAAGTGTCACCCAAATCTGATCATACTGAAGAAACATCACTTTAAAAACACAGTAAATAAACCAAAATAAATATACTCCATATGTAGTGTGAGAATATGGTGTCTGACAAAATATAAGCAGATTATCTGGATTCTGATCTTCAAAATGTTTTGTGCTCAAAGCAGAAACAATGTGACATAAAAGTTGTTCTTAAATGTTAATACAAAGAACAAGCTTGAATTTACTGAATGATGTAAAATGTTGTTATGAAACAGAAGTTGTTACAAAGAGGAGCTTTATTAGAAAGTTATTTAAAGTTCAGAAAAACTTTCTTCCATTTGAATTTGAGTCACAAAAATATAAATCTTAAATGAAGTGAGATACCAGGTGCATGAAACAGTTGGAGTCTTCATCCTTGGAGTGGCAGCAGGAGTTCATCCCGTAGCTGCTGGTTCAAATCCTGCTCTATTTGCCTGTCATTGTGTCTTTGGGCAGGACAGTCACCCGCCTTCAGAGGGCCCAACAGGGGGCGCTGGTGCATGGCAGCCTGGACGGCAGCTGTGGCTACTATTTAGTAGCTTTTCACCATCAGTGTGTGTGAAAATCACTGAATGTTTACATCCTGCAGGAAAACATCAGGTTTCTTTCTCCACATGAACCGTTTCCATCACTAATATGTGAAAACGTTTTGATATGCTGCCAATGTAAAAAAAAAACTACATGTTGCAGTTGTGGTTGTAGTGACTCTTTGTCTATGAAACAATGAATAAATAAATAAATAAAAAAATGCAGTTCTGTGTCGGTTTATTCCAAAGTTCCAGGCAAAAACAAAAAACCTGCTACAAGCTTCACAGGATCCGTCGTGGTACATTTTGTTTGCCTGGTTGTCTGACCTGCTCTCCGTCTGACTGGACGGAAAACAGACCAGATGACGACTGAGAGGATGTTCGACTGGCTGACCGGTAAAATCCATATGACCACTTCATATTAATACATGAAATACTCATGTCCCAAACTGAAATTAATTCACTAATTAAATTATAATCACACTCAAGTAAGTTTGTTTTGAGAATAAGTTATTAAAAACCATGGCGGTGATGGATGTAAATAGATGAGCTGTACTAATAATTCAGCCCTGAAGCTGGAGCTCATCACCTGCCAGCCAATCAGAGGAGGCGTTGGTGGACAAACAAGCCCCGCCTCCTGCCTGGGAGCGGCTCCACGTGCAGCGTTGTGTGTAAACTGCAGCCATTTTACAGAAGAGTTATGGATTCAACATGTTGGAGTGACAGTGAGAGTTCTGGAGGAGCCAGCCGCACGTTGTTCAGGGACTTTAATGTTTCACACACAGCAGGGACTCATGGGAAATATTTTTTACCTGCAGTTTTGCAAAATACACAAATTTTGGTATAGTTCAAAACCCAGTTCATCTGAGAACAAAAAGCTTTTCATCAAAAAACTATTGTTTTTCTTAATTGGTGTGTTCCTCATAAGTACATTTTGTTCCAATTCCAATTTTTGGAATTTTATGGTCAGTAAAAATGTACCACAATAAAAGTAACGTGACAGATTACGTCCTTCTATTCCTGGTGGTACATTAAAAGCTTTGGATCAATCTGGTCTTTTTTAAAAAGGTTTTTGACCAGATTTATTCACTTTTTGACTTTATGAATATTGAATTGTCCCAAATGAATATTGATTCAGATCATAAAGTTCATCACCATGTTTACTGATGGAGGAATCTTACCTGCCACCGTTGACTTGGGGACGTTTCTGTTGGATCCTGATTTCTGGTTCGTCTTGTGGGTTAGCCAAGATGGTTGTTGCAAATTCCTAGCAGAGGCTACAAAACCATAGAAGTATCTTCTGATTGTGCTGCAACATTTTTTATTCTGCAAGCAGAGAAGTTATTCTCCTGTTTTCTGTACAATGTGCAGCACATTTGGTGAGGGCCCTTTAAGTGGCTCCTACTTGACCGCCTCACTTATTTTTTTTCCAAATTGCTGCATCATTTAACAATTAATCCGGCAACCACTGTTGCAGAGCTGTGGAGTTTACTGTATCTGTTGTTCTGACAAGTGAGGAAATATTGCTCAATGAAACTGGGAATGGCAGCGACTCTGGACTTGTTTCCATGCAACTCGTTATTTCCCAACACTGCTGTAACTCTGACTCTTTCACCATTTCAGTTTTCAGATTTATAGCAACACATTTCTGTCCTGGAAGCCAGACGTGTCCAGCATTCAGGAGTTTCTGTCCTGCAGGTTTTAGATGCATCTCTGGACCAAATGCATGGCTCATTATCAATGATTCGTTCCAAATCAAATCGTTCCCTGTTCGTGATTTATGTTTCTACTGTCTTTCAGTATTTGAACATTTTCACTCATTTTGGTTTTGTTCTCCAGTTTGTTCACTTTACTTCTATAAAATATTAAACATGAGGATTCAAGATCAAACCACCGGGATCATCTGGTCTGTGGTCATAGCAGCATTTAGTACTTTATTTTTCCAATCTTAATAAATTACAAAGGTACAAAAAGGCAAAGAGGTGAACTGACCAGCATCCCACCAAAGATGGGACAAAACCTACAGTTGTCATTTGATCTGTTAACTCCTGGTTGGGTATTTATCTGATTGTGCCTTTAATTCAGTTAATGATGCTGAAGTCCTAAATCTACAGACACCTTTAAACAGATAGTGTCAGTTTATTTATATAGCACTTTTAAAAGAAGGTCAAAACTGCAACAAAGTGTTGTACAAATGTAATAGAACAAATTGACACAAAGAAATGAAATAATAATAAAACATCACAACAGAAAAGTTACAGTATTAAATTTATATCATACTTTATTGCTAATCAGAAATCTCACCTTGCCACCAGGCCATTATTTTTCGAACATCGCCTACTTCTGGATTATTGGACTCGGTAACATCAGGACGGGCTGCTGGCTGCTGGACTGCAGGACCAGAAAAATGATTTCAGGTCTGATGGTTTATATCACACAGACTCCATTACATCCAGAAACAGTTTGTTTCAGCATTAATGGAGCTGCAGTACACAGAAGAGAACATCTTTTACTGTCTTTGGATGAGTGGAGCTGGCAGCAGAACTGAACTGAACTGGCTGTCATGATACGAACCATGAATTATTTAACTGTGAGGTTACATCTGGCTGTAGTCACAGTCACATCTGGATGCAAAAAGTGTTTCCATATCCAATTCATTACACCTGTTTCCATTAAACAAATTTATTTGAGTTATTTTAATTGTCTATTACCATACACTTTATGGTAATGGAAACTCAGTTGCTGTCAGGGAGCTGAAATAACCATGAAAGATAGAAAACAGTCCAGTTAATCAGGAGCAACCAGTTCAGCCAAGCAGGACTTTCAACAGGAAGTTAGTGATGATGTCACTTTTCAACAGGAAGTTAGTGATGATGTCACTTTTCAACAGGAAGTTAGTGATGATGTCACTTTTCAACGCTTCAACTTAGTTTGGATGCAGAAGGAACAGAAGAAACTTATTTCTACCAGAATGCAGTCAAAGCTATTTTTAATCAATTAACTGGTATATTCAATTGTAATGTGTCTTTGATTAATATCTTTGTTTGGCTCAGTAGAGTTTTACCAATTATTTGATTATTTTCATTAATCTACAAATGTTTCAAATAATTAACTATTAAGAACAAAATCATTTGTTTTTTTATATTTTTCTTTTTTTTGTTGCAAAAGTCATTTGCTTTTTTCAAATTATGAGCCATACGACTCCAGTATGAATCAAATAAAGTTATGTATCTGTTTACCAATAAAAGCCCTGAATATTCAGAATAATGAGACTAAATTGCAAATAAAAAAACCTAAATATTCAACTCACAGTTTTGGCGTTTGAAGTTGTCTCGCTGTGTTGTGACATCATCATCTACAATAAAAATACAGCAAATTTCTGTAACTTATAACAACCAAATAAATCACATTTAAAGAACTGAGCAAAACCAACAACCTAAATATCATTGGTGTAAATGTAGAGCAAAAATATGATATTTAGGTTTTATTGTACTCATGAATAAATTTTTACCAGATTCGTAATCTGATTGTGACACGTTGTACAGATCTGGTTCATCTGCAAGAAAAAAGTCAGATTTTCTTATGAAACATCAGTAGAATAATATTTGGATTGCTATATTTTAAAACTTAGAATTTTAAATAAAACACTGAATGGCTTGTAGTGGTGTTGGATTTAATCAGGTCCAGAGAACCTCAGGACCTCAAGGTGTTCAGTAAACTCTCAGAGGTTGATCTCTGCAGAACTTTGCTTCCCTTTGCAGAGATTCTTCTCATTAAAGAGCAAAAACTAAGAGGAGAAACTAAATCAGTCCATCCAGGCCGAAGCTTTTAAACTTTCTGAATGAATGAGGATTTGTCTGGTTACTGAGTTTGGTTCTGGTTCTGTTCTGGTTCTGTTCAGTACATTTGTTTAGTACCAGTTCATAGCAGGACATGTTAATTAACTGCAGTCCCTGGACAGGTTAATGTGATCAAACACCATTTAACACATAATGAATTGCTCAAAAACCTGTTCAAATATATCTGATAACTCATAAAATACTTTCTTTGCCTTCATCAATAATTCTCCTAACTCTACGCATTCAACAGCCATACTTTGGCTGCTCATAACATGTTAAACATGTTAAACATGCTAAGCATGTTATGAGCAGAGCATGTGATAATCTCATTTGGTGACTCCAGAGGAATCCAAGGTGCATTTCAGAAGGTATGAAAAGAGAGTCTTGAAAAAAAGACAGCAAGAAAAAGATCTGTTGGAAACTTCAAAAGTAAAAGATCCATGAATTTAAAATGAACTAAGTAAACTTTTGAAACCTTTCTGAGCTTTTGGATAGAGTTCAAGTTGAATTCAAACCTAAGCAGGTAAATTCATTGCCATTTTTTATTTTCTTCTCATTCATTTACATATCTGGATAATTTATATTATCATCTGTATACATAACAATATTAGAGTCATGCACCAGTTGGAGATTATTGATAAACTGATCAAAAGCGTTAAAGTCGAGCCCTGCAGCGACAGTGACAGCGTTTGATTGCAGAGTGTCTGGTTTAATCATTCAGATTTAAACCTTTAAACGACAGTTTGTAGTTTTGTGTTTTACCTGATGTTAGCTCTAAACCAGTAATTCTGCTTTATTGTGTTCATTTCTTTGTGTTTGATTATTCCTTGTTACTTGGATCTATTTTCTCCATCACCTGCATCTTTCTCACTCTGAACTTTATGATTTCTGGGCTGCATCAGTAAATGATCTTTGGTCCAGTTTTGTTGTTTTATATTCTGTAATTCCAGGATGTTGATTTTATATCAATCCTGCGGAGCAAAGTCTGATTATAACAGTAAAACAATAAAACACAAGACCTTTTATTACCATGTCAGGTGAAGGTGAACCCAGGCCTTAAAACTTGTAACCAATCAAAATGGTGAAATATATTTATAGTTACAGTCAAACACATTAAATATTAACATGTGTGTCAGAACTCTTTACTGTGTTCAACAGAAACTAAACAAATGACTCTAAACACATCATTTCCACACATGGAGTCATTTCTAATAACAGATTATGAATAGTAATGATAGTGGTTGGAGTTGCCAGTTCAATTCCCGCTCTGCTCTGTCGTTGTGCCTTTGGGCCTCATTACCTAGAAGCTTGTTATCAACAGTGTGTATGGGTGTGTGTGAATGTGTGTGTGTATTGTGGTGCAACACACACACTGAATGTATTGAGAAAAGCTTTGGGGACTAAACAAATACAAACCATTTACCCCAAGAACAACTGAAGACAATTATTAAAACCATGTAGATGACCCCTAACCCCTAACCCCTAACCCCTAACCTCTAACCCTAACCTCTAACCTCTAACCCTAACCCCTAACCCCTAACCCTACTAAAAATAACAGCATAGGTTATGGCTTTGGCAATAGTTAATGATATTATTTCTACATCAGTACAGAAAATGTATTAATTATCAATGTTTAGTGAACTCACGAGACGACGAAGAGGCCATGGTGACACAGAAACCAAGATGAGAATCCGCTACCCTAAAAGAAAACAAACATCTGAAGGATTTCAGCAGCAGATTATAAATCCACAGATTTAAACTCTGTTCAGCAGTCAGACATAAATACACAACACTGACAAAGCAGTGTTGAAATTTAAAGGTTCAGACTTATTACAGCTCAAAGCTTGTGCTACAGAACATGACCATGAAGTAAAGTATTAATGAAATAAATACAAACATTAAACAGATATATTCATGTATTTAATAATATGATGTGGAATTGAAGATAAATTAATTTCTTTATGAACAGAATCTTGACAAATGAAGCCAATTGTGACTAATATTTTTCAGCGTTAATAAAAGTTTGATGCATTTCTGTGGAGACAACATACTGTGTATCTGTGCACATCTCATTACTGGAAATGCATTCATAAGAAATATGAAAAAGCCAAACTGTTCAGTTAATTTTGGTGTTTTTGTGTCCTGAAGTACAACAGAGCAAAGCTGCAGCTCAGTCATGAATTTAATGAATGTTTTTTTCATCATGATGACCAGAAGATCATCATGATGAAAAAACACAGAATTATTCTCTGTGAAGTGAAATATACAGAAAAGGATTTTTAAAAAGTATCAACTTTGATTTCAGAATTTTGACTTTACAGATTAAAGTTAGAATTTATTTATTTATTTATTTATTTGTGTGGCCCAAATCTGTAAAGATCTCTTGTTGCATTTATATAACAAATACTCCTGTTGCTCATGTGTGAGAATGAAACTGAAGTTCAGCTCTGCTGGTTGGATCAACAGAGATCATCTGATAAGCTTATCTAATCAGGAAACAGCAGGTCAAAGGTCAGCCTTATTGGAACCTGATCATTTTGTTGGAGTTTCTGAGTTACTGTCAGTCCTTTATTAACTGGGATATTAAATATTATTTAAGAAAATAGCATTTTGAAACATCAAATAAAACTATTGTCACAATTGAAATATTTTTACTCTGTGTGTTTAAATTCTGATCCTTTTTGGTTTCTTGTCATTTTCAGTTTATTTCTCTGTTGAGTTTCTTTGTTTCTGCTTCACTTTTTCCCTTTTGGATGTTTTATTTCATCTCCCTCTGTGTTCATTAGAAACTCATCAGAGTTTCAGTGTCACTCCTCATTTCTACTCAATATTTAAATTTTATGGTTTCTATTTTCACTGCTGTTTGCAATTACTCAAACTATGGAAACATTTATCAATATCTTTAAAATTATATCAGCAAAAACAAGAATTTTCTGCACAAAGTTTCCACATTAACTTAATTTAGTTTGACATACTTTACTCTGGTAAATTAAAATGTTATCTGGAGATTTATTACACTCTGTTCCTGAAAGCATAGAAATTAATAATCATCATATTGAGAACAATGTGTAGTTAGACTTCTTTCTCCTGATTTTAATGAGTTCTTTAAAACAATCTTTGAGTCCATATGTTCAGAGGTCAGAGTCAGACAGCAGCTAAAGGTTCAGCACAAACAAAGTATTTGGTTTCATCTTCATAACCTCTATATTTCTGACCCGACTGCCGTCAGGAAGACATTATTTCTGGTTCTTTGACTAACTAATGAACTGAACTAAAGCTGTATTTCTTAATGTTTTCATTCCCTCAAAGTAAATGAAGAACAAAGTAGATTAAATCGAAATAATCACTAATATTCAACAGATAAATGTTAGTAAACCTATACATTATGGTTGATAATTGTATTTTCAATGTATTTTATAAAGTTCCAGTTAAATTAACCTACCTTTCATGTGAATCAGTTGTTTTTTCTCTGTGTTCACTGAACCAGTTTCTCTGCACTAAAATGAAATGGTTGCTCTGCCAGCAGGGCGGGGAAGACGCTGAGTTAACATTTAACTTACGCCTCCTAAAACAAGAATCATCTTTAATGTTTACTGGAGTTTTATGGAAAACTCTTCCAGTTCCTCTGCACACATCTCACAACTGAATGTTTAATTAACAAAACCTTGAAAAACTCAGACTGCTGTGAACAGTCATTCCTTTTGCTCCAATTATAATCAGTCACTGAAGGGAGCGAAGGAACAGACCTGCTGCAGCTGCTGCTGCGTCTGCTGCTGCGTCTGCTGCTGCTGCATCTGCATCTGCTGCATCTGCTGCTGCTTCAGCTGCTGCTGCTGCTGCTTCAGCTGCTGCTGCATCTGCTTCAGCTGCTGCTGCATCTGCTTCAGCTGCTGCTGCATCTGCTTCAGCTGCTGCTGCATCTGCTGCTTCAGCTGCTGCTGCATCTGCTGCTTCAGCTGCTGCTGCATCTGCTTCAGCTGCTGCTGCATCTGCTGCTTCAGCTGCTTCTGCATCTGCTGCTTCAGCTGCTGCTGCATCTGCTGCTGCTGCTGCTGCATCTGCTATATCAGTATCAGTAGCTGCTGCTGCGTCATAATGATAAATAAATGCAGAATCAGTTTTTCTGATTGTGGCTTTAGATGTCAGGTTTGATTTCTTTCTTTCTTGCTGTGATCAGAAGATGAATTTCTTCAACTCTTCCTAAAATGTGACAAGTTTTTAAAAAGGGATCCAAGACACGTGTGTGTAATAATCCCTTTACAGTAAAATCTCTGGCTATATGTATGTTGTTGTTTTAAATGCTCCTGGTGCTGAAATGTGAGAATAATTTTGAAGCTCATCTCTGCAGGAACAGACTGTAACTCATCCATCCAAGATCATTTGATGGTTTGATTTGATGAGGAAGCTGCAGTGAAGCTGCAGGTTAAAGGTCGGCGTCATTGCTGAGTCATTATCCATAAAAATATATTTTAAATACTAAAAATAAAAAAAACATTCATTTCTATCTGGTCTCTTTAAGCAGAACATAATCCTCAGGCGTTTAATCAGATTACATTCTGATCATTTCTGAGTTGTTCATTATTGTTGTTAAGGTCTTGCCATATTCAGTTCATCCCTCTGTGTTGAGCCACTTATGTCTTTTAATTTCTGAGTATTTTGTTTAGACAGTTTAAAGTGAGACTTATTTTCTTTTGCTTGAACCACAAACGGCTGAATGATCATCAATGTGTTTCAGTGAGCTCCTGTCCAGGGAGATGAAACATCAACTCAAAGGAAGTTCATTTTATAAAATTCTTAGGATTAGTAAAATTACAAAATGATTGTAAAAGGTTAATTAGAAGACAGAATAATGACTTTAAGCTGCTTTACAGACGGAGCACCACGTGTTTCTCTTGATGACGTCATAATCTACTTTTATCACAAAATGATTTCAATGATTTCCTCATATGTCATATAGTGAAGATGGATACAATCTTAATGCACAATGGTTCCAAGTCTGATCTAAGGAACTGAAACATTTGATTTAACTTCTCTCTGTCTGGATCTTCTTAAATCTGACTCCAATAAAACACTGAGTATGACAGGAATAAGACAACATGTCTGTGCCGATAAACAATTTAGTTCTAGAGACAGATTTTTCTGGAAAAATATTCTTAGAGCCTGTATTCACAAGCTTGGGACTCTGGCAGCTTAATCAACTCTTGGAGAGCAGCACAAAGACTTCCTGCTGGGTTACCTCACTTCCTGAAGCTGCTCCTCTGTGTAAATCTTAGAGTTCATAATGCTGCAGCAAAGAAGAAAGCTTATCGACTTAAAATAACTGAAGACTAAATGTGATGTGGATGGAATGAAATGAAAATGTAATCAGATGAAAGCAGAACCAGAACATCAGATTTCAGGAACAGAGTAAAACTAAAAGTTCAATGCAGTTACTGTCATATCAGTTGTACTGTCATACTGTCATATCAATCAGAATCATCTGAAGTTCATATTTTAGAGCCATTTTCTAGACCGGCTTGTAAAAACATGAGCAGTCAACAGGAAGAATAGAACTTATATTTTAATTGAAACTTATATTTTAATTGAAACTTATATTTTAATTGAAACTTATATTTTAATTGAAACTGTTTGCTCATTAATGTATTTAATAATCAGTTAATGCACATTCTGCTGAGTCATCTCAAGTTATTCTAAAGTATTTAGCAACCAATCAGGAAAGACCTCTTAAAAGATAACTATTTATGATAAAATCTTGTTCAAATACTGATAACCAGTTCATCATATTTTCACTTTTACACATTAGAGATTGGAGGAAATTTCAATTTGATACTCAATGTAGATTAAAACAGAAAATAATAGAAAAAAACTCCTGGATTAAATCAAAAAGTGAATTATTTGGGTCTGAATTGTGCTTTGTGTTTTGACACAATGAAATGTAAAAGCATAATTTGATCACAAATTCATCTTATTATGAGTAATGATGATGTCCTGATCACTATGGCAGTGATGGAAGAAGCCAGACAACATGCATCCAGTCGCTTCCTGCTGACAGACCAAATTAGTGGCCATTTATTTCTGGAACAAACTGCGTGTTCATCCCTCTGGTGTCCTCTAGGAGGCGCCAAGTGCAGCTAATGAAGGGAGAATAATGATGAGGTAACATTTGATCTCTTGTAAAATAGAGATCAAGTTTGAGTTGTTTTTGCTATTTGCAGCATTTCTTCCTTTTGCTCCTGTTTTCTGTGATTTCAGCATTGTGTGTGTGCACAAGAGGTCACTTAAGTAAGAACGACTCATAAAGTTTAGATACTTACAAACAATCAAGACCGTAGATTGTACCCAAAAGACAACAAGGAGCTACAGAAGGGCATGTAAAACCAGGCTGCAGTTTAGGTCAGTCGCTGCAGGGAGCTCTGCTGCAACGCTAAAGAGTTACAATAATCTAAAGATGATGTCATGAATGCATGGACAGCTGTGCATCCATGCATTCAGAGTAAGATAACGTCTTACCTTAGCAAAGGTCCTCGGCTGAAAGAAACTGACTTTGATAACAGCGCTAATATGTCTATCAAATTTAGGATCAACAATCACCCAGAGATTTTACAAATGGAGATTTACAGAGAAACTCCTATTTGAGACACAGGATTGAAACCACTTGGACATAATTTGGTGCTGTACCTTTAAATTCAAACAATTGACTCCAGACAGGCCACTTCTGAAAATAAAAGTAAAATAACTGCTGATTTTTCCTCATCAACAGTTAAAAGAGGATCATTTCAAACTTTTAAAAGGTTTATTTTAAAACCAGACTGAAATTTTACACCAATTTTATTTAAGTCACAATGAAGTTGGGCAAAAGCAACTTCCTCTAAAATGTTTCACAGAAATGTTGTCTAGTTCCAAATATTCTGTCTGTAAATATAAAATAGATTATATTTTCATTTAGTCTGTGGCATCTCAATGAATTGTTTGGCGTAATTCCTCCAGAATCACCAGGAAGTTCAGCTGATTAAAGCAGTCAGTTTGACTCAAAATAAAGGCCACCTAAAAACAAATACTTAAAAAAAAAAAAAAAAGTCTAGTCTGGAACTAGACAACAGGTTGAACTGAGGCTGATGAACCACAGCATGCTTCGGAGAAAACATCCAGACATCAGAGAAGAACTGATCATTTTAACTGGGTGCCCAAAGTGGGTGGTGGCGGCCCGGCATCCTGCATGTTCTGGTTCCCTCCCTGCTGGTAGCAACAGCAGGGAGGGAACTGCTGAGGTCAGCAGGTCAGCGTTCTCCTTACACCTGATAATGAGCCGTTATTGGATCCAGGTGCATTAAACCATGCAGGATGCCGGGCCTCCAGAACCGACTTTGGGCCCCACTGGTTTAACAATACATGGACCAATACAGTCAAAAATCTACAAACAACAGCTGGGAATGGTGTCCAGAGAGCATGAGAAGGATTTAACCTTTTAATAATTTCAGTAAATTCATAAAGGGACAGAGGCTCAAAACATTCAAAAACTGTTGGAGCGGCTGGATCCACACCAGACAGAATAAATGTTTCTACCAAAGGTCAGGAAGTCTTCACAGAGACCAGATGAAGGTTCGCAGAATCTCTGTCAGCGGGACGCACAAAATATTGGGACAGTTTCAAAAACAAGGAATGACAAGAAACATACATTCTGCAGCTTTAGTAGCTCTTTGATAATTTACAAGAAGTATTTAGAAAGAAACCTGAAGAAGATCTTTGCTCCACCTGCGTTCATGTCTGAGTTCATGTGTTTGTTCATTCAACCAGCATTGTGTCATTAGCTCCAGCCTAAACGGGGCTGCAGAGTCCAAAACCTCCATGTTTTATTACAATGAGAAATTAGTTTACCTGGATAAAGGTTTTGTGAATCAGAAGGATTTATTTTGCTAAAAATGCCAGAGAATAAAGTTTGGGAATTTATGGTAGGTGATCCCACTCTGACAGTTTAACAGAAAACAGTGAAGCAAAAATGGTCAGAAAAATGTGTTTCACAGAACTCAGTCATATTTACATTGAGGTCAAAAGTCAGCACCAAGTCCAGGATGTGATGTTTCTCAGGTGAAAAGAGTCAATGAAGTTTAAAAACTCTTTAGCCAGTGGTCTGGATTTACAGGAGATATGTGAGCTGAAGTTGTCACAAAGTCCCTGAAATCCTGAATCAAATCCTGATTAAACTTCGGCAGCCAGTTCACCAGAGCACACAGGACCAGACTGTCAAAGTTAACCGTTCATGACTCGAGACGCAGCTCTGAACTTCCTGAAACACAAAGCAGAACTGACAGGAAGTTAAAACATTTGGGATTGTTGCTGCGTTACAGTTTCTGATGCGTCTCATGAAAGGATGCAGGTTGATTTTGGATCTTCATGATCCAGAAGCTGCACAACCAGTTCATCTATTTCTCGTTCATGAACTTTCTGAAGGTTTTCAGTTTCCTGTTCGTTTTTCACTTGCTTCAGCTGGTTTTCATGTCTTGTCAACAATTCCTTGATTTTTTTCACATGTTCTTTCTTTCTGGTGACACATTTCACCAAGTCGACGATTTGCTTGCGGTGCTTTGCTCTGGCTTCCTTTTCGTTGAGCTCTTTGAGCGCCTTCAGCATGTCATATTTCTCATCTTTGTCCTTCATTTGTTTTTCATGCACTTTTTTCTGAGCTGCAAATTCTTGGCTGTATTTCTCTTTGAACTCATTAAACTCTTCAGCTTTCTTTCTGGCTTCTTCCTCATGAGTCTCTCTTAGTTTCTTCACCTCCTTCTGATGCTTCTCATCTTGTTCTTCTCTGAACTTTGCCTCCTTTTCTGCTCTCATATCATATTCTTGTTTCTGTTTTTCATATTCTTGTTTCAGTCGCTCATACTCGTCTTTCAGTCTTTTCTCCTCCTTTTGCCTCTGTTTATCTTCTTGCTTGTTTTTCTCCTTTAACATTTTCACTTCTTTCTCCCAGGCTTCATGCTTCTTTAATACTGATTGATGTTTCTGGATGCCTGTTTCTGTTTTAGCTTCTTTCAGTTTTTCTTCCCATTCTTCTTTCTCACGTTTCAGTTTTCTTTTTTCTTCTTTTCTCCTGACTTGCTCCTTAATCTTTTCTTGCTCTGCCTCCTGTAGACACTTCTCTATATACTTGATTTTTATGTCTTTCTGTTTAATTTGTCGTTCAGTTTTTGCTTTTTCCTCCATCATCTCCCTTTCCATGTCGCCTTTTTCTTTCTGATGTTTTCTTATTAGTCCCTCAATCTTTTGCTGCATCTCTTCTTCCTTTTCTTTCAGAATTTTTTCCATTTTTCTCCGTATTGCTGCTTCAGCTTCCTGCAGCATGTCGTTGGTGAAGCAGCTGCCTCCATTTTCCTCTACCATGTCATCAATCTTTTTGAGCAGCTCTGTGACTTGCGTACGGTCCTGGTCGTTGTAGTTTTCAAACACATGGTATCTTCTTCCACAGTCCTCAATGAGCTTCTTAAAGGACTCATCTGAATTCTCTTCAATAAACCCTTCAATAGATTTATTATGACGTTCCAGTTCACCTCCATGTGTGAATAGGATGATGGTGAAGTTCTCTGAACTTTTTCCAAAACCTTCCTTTACAAATTTTAAAGTCTCCTTTTCCTCTGGTGTTAATCGTCTGATTGGTAAGACCAGCAGGAAGACATGTGGACCTGGAGCCAGGAGACTCATGCATTTCAGCAGCTCTTCTTGCACTTCTTCATGAGACAAAGTGTTGTCAAACAGGCCTGGAGTGTCGACCACAGCAACAGGACGGCCGTCCACTTCACACTGGGCTTTCTGGCAGCGCTTTGTGACTGAATCTGGAGCTGGTTTGGCTTCAAAGTAGTTTCTTCCCAGGATGGTATTTCCTGAGAAACTTTTTCCGCAGCCAGTTTTCCCGATCAGAACGATCCTGAGACACTCGGGCCCCTCCTTCTCCGAGTCCCCTGTAACAGAAACGGTCCACAGGTCAACTGGCTCTACATACCAACTGAGAAGATGAGTTCACTGACAATTGGAAAAAAGCAATATCAACAGAATCAGTTATCAGATTAAAAATAATGATGAAAACATCTGGAAATAATGAACATCTCTTCACTGTAACAAAACCAATTTGACGGATTCACCTCACTGCGCATTAGAGTTTCAGATGCTGATTCTGTTCAGACCAGAAGTCACAGAGAAAAGGATCAACTGGTTCCAAGAGTTTTACTTCCCAACTCTTTCTTGAACTGAACTATTTGGCTAATCTCTTCCTAATAATCAGAAGGACTTGATCACTTTGGTATATTTCCAATTTTTTTAATAAATGTTTTTGGATAACAGATATTCATTGCCAAACTGTACCTATTGTTAAATAATTTTCTTTATGTAGAAAAGACTTAATGATACTCACCCATTAAGATCATTTTTGGTGCCTGGTTTGGCAGCTGGGCTTGTAGTCTGGTGATGATCTTACGTAGTTGTATGACTTTATCCTTGTAGGCTCCTGCCAGGGTGTTTGATGTGAAGGATTTCTGTCTCATCTTTTCCACAGACTCTATTACAGTAGAGAACTGCTTCCTGTCATTGCGATTGACAACAACGTATCTTCTTCCACAGCTCTGAATGAGATCCTTGATGTCTTTGTCTCGTTTAATAAAGTTATCAACAGCTGGAGCTGTAGGATCTGAGTCTGTAGTGAAGAGGATGGTGGTGAAGTCATTGACTCTGGAGCTGAATGTGTCCTGGATGGTGTGTAACTCTCCCTTGTCTTCATCAGTGAGGGGACCCACAGGCAGGACCAGGATGAAGGCGTGGACACCCTCAGGATCACAGAGGGAGACACACCTGAAGGATTCCTCCATCACTTCCCGCTCAGATTTTCCATACAGTGCAGGCAGCTCCACCACAGAAAGCCAACGTCCAAACACCTCTCCCTGGTTTCTAACACTCTCTGAAATCTTGGAGACTGACTGAAGCTCTCTCTGACCTAGAATGACCTTGGCTGCTGCCGTCTTCCCTGCCCCTCTCCTCCCAAACAGAACCAGGTTTATCCAAGGCGAGGTCTGTTCATATTTCATGGCTTCTTCACCTTCTTTGACGGTCAGGAAGGCTCCTCTGTTTTTGTTAGCAATATCTTCAATATTCAGCATTAATTTCTGGTGATTATTTTCACTTAGGTTGTACTTCCGACCTTCACATTCTCTGATTAGTGAATTTAGAGCAAAACTTGTTTCATTCCCTTCTTGAGTTATGACAACCATTGAGTGTTGAAATGCATCTTCTCTGAACAAACTCAGGGTGTCCTTCAGAGTGAGTCCGTCTTTCTCTGTGAAGTCTGAAGGTTTCACTAAGAGCAGCAGGACATTTGGTCCAGGAGGACAAAGATTCACACAGCTTCTCAGTTCTTTTAGGACTTTATGAGACTGAAGTTCAGGAGTTTTCACTACAGTCAATAACTTTCCATTCCACGACCCTTGCTCATCTGGCTTGGCTTGATAAAATGTTGGTAGTCGAGTAATTTTTTTCTCAATGATAAAGTTGCAGAGTTGTGTCCTCTTTGACTGAGTTGCTCCAAGAAGCAAAATCCTGAGACCTCGTTCTGTAAAACAACACACCGAGTTATTGAATTTCAATTAAAAACTGCTGTCAAAGATTGTTATAACGACTGACCATAGATAGATAGATAGATAGATAGATAGATAGATAGATAGATAGATAGATAGATAGATAGATAGATAGATAGATAGATAGATAGATAGATAGATAGATAGATAGATAGATAGATAGATAGATAGATAGATAGATAGATAGATAGATAGATAGATAGATAGATAGATAGATAGATAGATAGATAGATAGATAGATAGATAGATAGATAGATAGATCTGATCTGCTTTAACACACAGAAAATGTCATAGAGCTGTAACTTTGTATTTGAAAGTTATTCCACCTCAATGTTTTATGGCAAATTTTTTGATTTTGAGGGTTGGCCACGCCCACATGCTGTGATGCAGCAAAAGTTTTTGATAACTTATGACCTTCAATGCCTCAGGACTGTGGTGAGCGATTCTTAAGTCTGCATGTCAAAAGCTGCATTATTTTGATCAGACACAACTTGTGTAAAAGAGACAAAATGGTCGATTTCCTGATTGATTAGGCCATGGTTCCAAGAGACGTATTTGAAGGTCCTGACAAGATGCACGTTTACAGTGGCTTGCAAAAGAATTCATAATCCATTGAACATTCCCATATCTGTCATGTTCCAACCACAAACATAGATATAATGCATTAGAATTTTATGTGAAAGGCCAACATACATGTGTGAATTAGAACATAACTTGATTCAAAACATTTCTTACAAATCAGCCCCAAGTCATGCTTTGACCAACAGTCTTGAAACTTGGCTCCTGTGCCATGAACAACATACATTCGTACTTTGGACTTTGGTTTGGAGTCGATCAAACTCCTCCTAGGCATTTTGAGTGATCGGTTTGAAACTTGGTCAGTTTACTCAGTAGGCATGGGGGGTAAAAAGTTATCAAAATGGTGAGTTCTTGAATATGCTGAAGGGGCGAGGCCAGACCTCAAAGCTTGACATCATAAAATGAAGAGGAACATGTTATATCTCATACAAGATCAGTCACTGGGACATCAAACCTTCTGTTATTGATCCACATCTAATCAATGACATTACTTAATGGTCAAATCATGATGTCACTAATGTCACCCCAACCCTGCCTGAGAACAGGAAGTGAAATGTTTTACTTTGAAAGGCCCATCTCTGACCCCCTTAAACTAATCAGGACTATCTTGTGTCAGAAGTCACAAGATTTCTGACACAAGAAGTCTAGTTAGATAGTTGGTGTCACTATCTTTAAAACATGTCTGCACTCAGGTGGGACCTGGTGGTGCAGTGAAGTCATTCTTTAAACCACTGCGATACATTTGGCTCTAAATACCACAAATGCAGGCCGAGCCACAATGATCACCCTGAGTGCAGACATGATGTCCCTACAGGAATCCAGCCCAATATTTTGAGGGTATGACCCAATGCCTTCTCAGCACACCTGAGAAATCTTTAAAAAATATCAGCCTCAAGCCATGCTTTGACCTCCAATCATGAAACTTGGCAGATCTCTGTAACTTATCAAGACTTTGTCTCTTTTAGAGACATTGTGTCTAAGCAAGCTCTACAAAGACTAATGGGGATCCTTAAAGGTTATTTATTGTTTAGGAGCTCAGGAAACTATATAATTATATTGTAATTTGACTCCATTGTGCTACTAGATGATGATGATGATGATCTACACCATCACATTGGTGTGATAGTTTGATGATATCAGTTAAGCCCCACCCTCTAAAAGAAGAAACTGAGGATTATTTGGTGACTCTGATTTTAAATATTTTGTACAGTATCCTTGAATATCAAGAAAATGTATATTGTAAAATGTACAAATTACTTTAAAAGTTGAATATCTGGTAAATCAGATAAATCAATCATCATATGTATTGCTTTATGCCATCTAGTAGAACTCTTTATAAATTAATGAATATTATAAACTTGCATATTTATTGGAATCACCAATGAAACAATTTAAATAAATCAACCAAGCAGTTTTTCTTTGCCAGACTTACCAGCAGCAGAACCCAAACGAGCGTCTCTCATTGGTTTGATGCTCGGCTTGTCAAGGATTAAATGCTTCTCTCTGTTGATCTTTAGAAAGTTCCCAAGTGACCTCAGCATCTCAGGAAATTCAGTATCTCCAAATATGAGAGAGTTATTTTTGCATCTTCTGATCAGTTCTTGTAAGTTCTTGTTTAAACTTGGTTCCTTCAGCTTAGATGTTGAAATGAGAACCACTGAATGATCAAACGCTTGATCACTAAAGAGATCCAGGACTTCACAGAATCTCCTGTGTTGCTCATTTGTGAAGCTTTCAGGTTGAACAACCAGCAAGAACAAGTGAGGTCCAGGATCAGAGAGGCTCACACAATGTTCCACGTGTTCTTTAAGTTTGCCTTGAGGAATCTTTGAGTGAAGCAGATCTGGGGTGTTGATGACAACCACGTTTGTCTCCTGGATCATTTCATGGACTCTGATGGGAGAGTTTGGTTGCTCTTCAGTGCTGAAGGCAGACACTCCCAGAATTGAGTTTGCAATTTGACTCTTTTCTGCCCAGCTCTCCCCCAAGAGGACAAGCCTTAACTCTGCCACTGTAAAAAAAATACATAACAATAACTGCAATAGACTGCAAATTAAATATGATGCATGACAACCTGGAGTTTTCCCCAACTTACTGCTGGGTGGCAGGATTTCTCTGCTTTTTCTCCTCCTTATTTGAGGTTTTCTCTCTGGAACAGTAAGAGCAATTGAAAAAAGAGCTTATCATTGTATTCTGTAAAGTAGTTTTCAAGTATTTTACTTTTTAAAGGCGTATGGGATAATGATTAGAAAGTTATGGGAACATAAGGAAACAGAAGGAAAGCTTGTCAATCATCTAGGGTGGCAGTAGGACCAGAGTCCAACTCACCTAGTGATGACACAGAAAGCCATCAAAATTTGGCATTTTACATTCCCCTCCTATAAAATTCAACTACCGGAGTGTAAAACAATACTTGTGCTATCTAAAGCAGGAGGACTTTGATTCAGACAAAGCTCAGGAGAAATGTTGTAGTCACATGAAAATAAAATCTTGATTTTTGTATGAGTTCAACCTGGGAAGTCGGAGCTGAGATTAACAGCTAACACTGTTGGATAAGTCAGGTCTCTATAGCAGGCCCCCAGGGGCCATGGTCTGCTGTGCCTCCTTTAAAGCTATACTTCCCTCATGCAAACACAACTTTTAATCTTTTCTGTTTGGAGCTGCTGGTGTTCCTTTTAACACTGATTTAGAAACATTCTTACATCTGTCAGGACAGCGGAGGTTAACATTAAAGGGTTAAATTTTACCTCAGCAGAGGTACAACGGCACCATAAAATGTCATAACTCACTATAAATATTTTACAAGTCAGGTGTGGCTGTTGTCAAGGTTGCTTGGTTCACAGCCAACAAAGCACCTGAAATTAGCATAATTACAATATGGTGAAGTTTCTTGGTTTGTTTTATGTTTCTAAGATTATTTTGGTTACATGTGAGACCCTAACACGTCTCACAAGAGGAAATACACAAAAACAAGCTTTACTTCAATTGTGGCATGTTACAGGATGTATTTTAATTGCTCCCCAAATAAAAAGGGAATCTATCAGAAGAATATAACATTTCTGTAAAGTTACTTCATGCTGTTTAAATTAAACAAATAGCACATGTTAGTTTGTTGACTCACCAGATGTTCCTGTGGCCATGATGTCACGTCACATGGGGGGGGGTTTGCCTATTTCCAGTGGTGATTGGGAGAAGATGCTTTAATAACATCAATAAATATGATTATTGTTAGACAAAGGTCTCTTATCTCAAAACATTTTACTTTTCAGTGAATGAAACAAAACTGCCTTTCACTAAATGTTTATTTATACTGCTTAGTCAAATGATGCATTGTGTTTTTAATACCTTCTAATCCAGGTTTACCAAGTGAACAACTGTTAATTTTCAAAAGAAAATAAGAAACAATAAAATGAAGATACGTTTTTGTTTCAATTCGTTGGAAAATAAAATCTCTCCAGATAAATCCTCATTTGCTACCTGATTACCAATTATGAATGTTCGCTGCTGTCTTGAAGCAGTAATCATATAGTGACTTTTACTCTTCATTACTAATTTAATGTAAGTTCTCTATACTTACAAAAAGCTGATTTGTCTACATTTGAACTGTCGCTTGTTGCCCTTTTCACTGTGGCTCAAATATAATATCATGTTCATGTGAACTTTGGACCTCATCAGAATCATCTGCCGTCTGAACAAAATTGATATCTTATTGGATCCACATACTCAGATTATGTCAACAATACATTGAATTAATTCACTAGATTCTCTCACTGGATCTCCAACTTCTAGAGACACAAGGTGTTTGTGAAGAAGACATGAAATCAACTAGTTTAGCTGCTTATCGATGACTGTTAACTTTACATGACATGCTGATTGTTCTGATCATGTTTTAAAAGGTTTTGATTAGTTTTACCAACCTGACATGTCAGATAGTCGATGCATCACTGGCTCTTTGTGCTTCTAAACAAACGTCTTCATGCTGAAATAAAACCACTCTGGTCTCCTTGTCCGGTTCCCCACCGGCTCAGTGGGTGGAACAGCCGGCCAAGGTAATGTTTAACCTGTAGGATTGAATGTAGTAGATTCAGATACTCTTGTTTTCCAGCCTCAGTTTGATTCACGAATTAGCACTGGAGTCTGAGACTATGAAGACATTTTGTGTGATGAAGCTCTCTCTCTCCGTCCAGCAGCACTTCCTGCCACACATCCCTTCTTCTTTTCAACGTTCAGTAATAATCTGTAAAGTTAAACCCTCGCTCTGCTCCTGTGTCTGTTATTATGTTTGCAGGTGGAGCTTCAGTCACAGAATGATTCCCTCCAACTCCACATGTTGGACATGATAATCTGGATTATTTATATAAGCATATGTTATCATACAAATCATGTTCTGTGTGTTGAAATGTGGCACACAAACTTCTTTCTTTAATCTGAATCCTTAGACTTACAGCACGTCTCAGTTCATCTTGTGTTTAAAAGCCTGAATATTTGTGGTAGTGTGTCTGAATGTCATTTTAAATTGACCTAATTTAACACTACAGAATCTAATGAAGCTTACTGATGATGAAGCTTTGCTGTCTGGAAACAGTGGACTGAAACTTTGAAAGGCTTTCATGTTTCTCCTCTAATTATTTTTCAAACAAAAAGAAGACAAACTTTATCATGAACAGAAAATCTCCCACATGAAATATTTACTGACATAAAGGAAAAACTGTCTGATTATTCTTATTCTAATCAGTTCAGCAGATGTTTCTCCAGAAAATAAAGTAGAAAATCAGAGCATACTATGAACCAAATACTGAAAGAAATAAAGAATTAATATGGACATTTTTTATAATAAATAATTGAAGAAATTATTACTTGATCATTTAATTAGAATCAGGTGATTCACTAATTGCTTCAAAAATAAGCTGTTTAATTAGATGAACATTTAAAATATCTCTTGTATATTTGAGCTGTTCTGTCTGGATGGTCATGAATTAGTTTAACTGGAACCATTTTCTGCTCAGGGCCCCAGAAATTCTTTGTTCGCCTCTGGCGGCCTGTGTTCCACTGTTATTTAAGGATTAATTTTTAGGTTAAAATACGCTGATGTTCGCCTGGCAACCTCGCTATCACTGAGAGTGAAAGATACTGGATGAAATATTGTATTATGGATCAACTGTTACCCTACATCTGAAGAACAGAAGCGTTTGCTTTAATTGTGCAGCCTGAGCAACAATCAGCATCACTCTCCTCAGGTGCGCCAGTCTTCAAACTGCAGAGCAGCTCCACAGATTGTTGATCTGTAAACCTGCAGAGTTTCACTGACAGGAAACAGAATCTGAGATCTGGACTGGATCCACTGAACCTGCAGGTTGGGACCAAATAAAGGTAAAACTCAACCAGAGCTGCGGCTGCAGAGTCACAGCTCATTGTTTGCATGAGCAAAAATAACTGGCAGATATTTAACAAGTTAAATTCAGTGGTGAGTTTATGGATTGACTTACATTAAAATCTCCCCAGAAATAGGAAGAAAGGCAGCTTTCATTCATCGGTTCAGGAACAAAACTGTGAACTGTTTCAAAAGTTCAAACTTTCTTTAAACTTTTGAATGTAAACCAAACTGTCATCAACTCGGTTAATTGGTCAGAAGTGTGAAGCATGCATCAATAATCGGAAATCAGAAGAAACATTTCAGAGAAGAAATCATAAATCAGGCCTCAGGCAGTTAAAACTCAACAATTCAGAGCAACAGAGAATCTGGAGCTACGTGATTATGAATGTAGCTCATAATCATATGATTATCACGTTCTTTGCATTTAATAGAAAGAAATGTATCAATCTATTTGGGCAGCAAATGCCCAGCTCTCATAAATGATCGTAGATTTCTAGATTTAAACCTGAAAGTCTTCATTTGTCTCAACCTTCAGGATTTTATTTGCTTATTTTACTGTTAGTCTGGGAGCAGATTTATTTATTTCATTGTCAGAAATAAATGTTGTTGTGTGCAAACATTGAAAAGTGAGATTAAGTTTGACTAAATTGGGAACATTCTAAAATTATTTTCTTAGTTTTTTCATCTGTTATCCCTTTTGGATGAATTCATTTTACTGTATTTTCTCTGAAGCTGAATTGATAATTAAAGCTTTTTACAGGAAACCATGAGACAAAAAACCTCTCCTATAAATCTAGAAGCTTTTTCACTTCAATAAACTTGAATAAATCCTTTATTTCACTTTGAGTTTATGGTCTGAAGTCAGATCCATGTCATTGTGTTTTGCAGCTGTTGGTTGTTTGTGGATCAGGTGATTCCTGCTCAGCGTTTCCACACCAACAGGCTCCCGTCTTTTGCATCTTATTTCCATTTCTAAATAATACGGACGATGCAAATTCCAGCTCCGCTACATCAGAACGTGTTCAGTTGGTTCTGCGGGTCTCGGAACAGAATCCAGTTTCAGGGAAGCGAATGCAAATCCAGGGAAATGTAGAGCAGATCCAGAGAGCCGCTGTATCAGAGAGAGGAGCGTCAGGCTGCAGGTAGGAACACTGACTGCACAGGAGAGTTAATTTAAGATCTGACTTTGTTTTTGAGGGAACTTTATTAATATGAACTTTATTAATATGAACTTTATTAATATGAACTTTATCAATATGAACTTTATTAATATGAACTTTATCAATATGAACTTTATTAATATGAACTTTATCAATGTGAACTTTATCAATGTGAACTTTATTAATATGAACTTTATCAATGTGAACTTTATCAATGTGAACTTTATTAATGTGAACTTTATTAATGTGAACTTTATTAATGTGAACTTTATTAATGTGAACTTTATTAATATGAACTTAATCAATGTGAACTTTATTAATGTGAACTTTATTATGAACTTTATTAATATGAACTTTATCAATGTGAACTTTATTAATATGAACTTTATCAATGTGAACTTTATTAATATGAACTTTATCAATGTGAACTTTATTAATATGAACTTTATTAATATGAACTTTATTAATATGAACTTTATTAATGTGAACTTTATTAATGTGAACTTTATTAATGTGAACTTTATTAATGTGAACTTTATTAATATGAACTTTATCAATGTGAACTTTATTAATGTGAACTTTATTAATATGAACTTTATTAATATGAACTTTATTAATGTGAACTTTATCAATATGAACTTTATCAATATGAACTTTATCAATATGAACTTTATCAATATGAACTTTATTAATATGAACTTTATTAATGTGAACTTTATTAATATGAACTTTATTAATGTGAACTTTATTAATGTGAACTTTATTAATGTGAACTTTATCAATGTGAACTTTATCAATGTGAACTTTATCAATGTGAGGGCTGAGTTTGTTTCAGAGTTTTTCTGACATTCCTGGAGTTCAGTGATCAACGTTCATCTTGTTTCCGTTGAACTGCAGCCGTCAGGCTCCTGGAGTAAAAGGACGTTTTGAGTCAAATGTGTTTATGCAGATGGAATAGTTTTAGTATTTTTCAAAATGTTTTCTAAACATTAAAATCTATCAGTGTAATCAGATCCAGCAGGTTCAGGTAAAAAGTTTGTGATTTTATTTTTCTAAAGGTTCATGGATCCGATCCGACCCGCTGACCAGAATACCATATTCACTTTATTTGTTTTCTCTCAGTCTGAGTTCAGCAGATGATCTTTTACATCATTTTCCACATTCTTTAGATACTCGGGATGAAATATGTTTGTCGGTTTCAGGCTGAGGAACCTTGCCCGTTTCCATGATGACCAGCATGAAGGGTTAGTTTGGGTTCTGAGTTCTGCTCCGTATCCAGTGACGCTTCCAACAGATCCAGACTGAACTCTGAGGCACAAACAGAAATATTGATCATGTTGAAAATTAATATTACCATTAAGGGTTTAGATCTTGTTTATTAAATGATGAAAACATGGAGGAGAAATCTGAGTTCGGATCCGTCTCATAGTTACAGTCAGACTGTATCACTGAAGTTATTGCAGCATTCAGAGAAATATCTCTGCCTGTCACTAATGCAGAAGGCTGATTGTTTCATCTGTGGTGTAATCAGGCAGTCACTGGATCATCTGATGGCCAGAAGCGGAATCTGACGGCCAGAAGCAGAATCTGACGGCCAGAAGCGGAATCTGACGGCCAGAAGCAGAATCTGACGGCCTCGGTTCAGGCGTCACAAAGTGGCTCTGCAGGTTTTCAGGTGGTTTTATTGTTGGATGTTTGTGACCTGATGTTGAAACTATGAGTTCATGGTTTTGTTGCCCCAAAGGGAGAAGATGCAGAAAAACCCCAGACTGGGATTCAAACCCACAACCTTCTTGCTGCAGGGCTTCAGTTCTACCATCTGCTCCACTGAGCTGCCCAGAAAATATCAGCAGCCGATTAAACCCAAATGTTTCAGTTTGCTGTGGGTTGTTTCTGCTGTCATAGTGATTTAAACCTTATAAACGTCAGTCTGGTCAGTGAGCTGCAGAACGAGTCAGGATTTACAGCTGGGAGAGTTTAGCTGCTGGTCCACCAACAATCTTTGATTTAGAGTCAAAAATGACTACAGGATTCACTAAAGGTCAGGAAATGAGCTGCTTACATGCATTAACTGCTTCTGGCATCATTTCTAACAGAGTTCATCCTGAAGGTGGAAGATAAAACTGACCAGATGAAGAAATGAATCAGGATAGTTAACAGTTTAGCAGCTCAACGGCTGCTAAACTGGGGAAACTTTACTGAAAAACTGAGCAGGAGTTGTGTCATTATTGGGTCAGAACCGTCAGTTTGGGAACCTTCTGACATATTTTTGTGATTACAGTGAATCTGACGGCCTGTCAATCATATTTCTATTTACAATTGAAATATGATTGACACCATATTAGCTCTGTATTTTTCTCCCTCCTAGCTGTGAGGAAGTCATGATGGAGTGAAGACTGAAGCTGGAAGCAAACACTGTCGCTTCCTGATCTCCGGCCGTTCCCTGTTCTCCGGACGCTCCCGGTTTTCCTGAAGCTCCGCCTCCATCCGGCGGCTCGGCTTCCTCTCGTCTCGGTCATGAATCCATACGGAGACGATGTGTCTGGGTTTTCTGGCGGTCCGGTTCCGTACTCGGCCTCTAACCCCAATTACTCCATGGATCCGTCGGTTCCTCCAATCATCCAGACGGGTCACAGCTCTCTGCCCCCCCCTGCTGCCCATTTCCCACCCGCCCTCCCAGGCCCCGCCCTCCCAGGCCCCGCCCCCAGCTCCATGCTGCCGGCCTTCAGCCCCACCGGTAACCCCTACGCCCCCGCCGGCCTCCACCCGCCCCAGCTCTCTGTCCCGGACCTCCAGCCGCCCCAGACGGAGTTCTCTGACGAGTCGGGTCCAGACCTGGAGTGCGCCATCTGCTTCAGCCAGTTCAACAACGTCTTCCGCTGCCCCAAGATGCTGAACTGTAAGCACACCTTCTGCCTGGAGTGCCTGGCGCGTATGAACGTGAAGTCTGCGGAGCCCAGCGCCATCCTGTGCCCTCTGTGCCGCGGCCTGACCCCGCTGCCCCCCCTCGGCCTGCCCAAGCTGGCCACCGACTCGGACGTCCTGTCCTACCTGCCGGCCGCCATGCAGAGGGTCTACAGCATCCGCTTCATCCGCAACAAGGGGAAGCTGCAGGTCAAAAGGTCAGCCTCACCTGGAGTCACACGGATTCAGGCTTTTCTGTCTAAAACAGATTCGACTTCCTGCAGAATATCAGCTCCTTTAAAACTAAAAGGTCAGGGGTCACTGTGTTAAGGTGGCAACGCTCACTCAAAGGTTGACCTTTGACCTTAAAATGACAGCAGCACAAACCAAACGTTGACACAAATTTTGTTCACAATTTTAATTTGAAGAGGCGGCGATGAAAACTTGACTCAGATCAGTTTCATGTGTTCTTCATTCTAATAAAATCCAACATGGCCGCTCAGACACTTTAGTTCTGGAAAGTATCAAAAATCAGATTCTTGTTTTTTTCCATCAAACTGAAAATCCCACAGAATCAGATTGACCTTTGACCTGTCGATCAGACGTTTAATTTACCTCCTGGATAACAGATTAAATCTGGATTATTTCATCTCCTAGATTTAATCTGACGTTATTTGAAGAAACGCTCCGGTTTCTGGCTCTGCAGCCAAAAACACCAAAACTGAGCTGCAAACTCAAAGACCTGAGGATCCAGGACTGCAGCAGGTCAAAGGTCAGCTTTATGGGAATGTTTTTGTGCTGTTGAGTCATTTCATTGGAGCTGGTTAGTCATTAAACTCTGACTCAGATGCAGTGGTGCAGCTAAACGCTGAAAACTGAAAATGATCAGAGGAATAAACTGCAGGATTTATCCACCAATCAGGTTTCAGCTCTGATGACTCGACCTTCTGTGCTCTAAGGTCAAGGTCGTGTCAAGGTGAATGACGAACTGATCAGTGAGTCTGAGATCTGGACGCAGTAATAAATCTGAAAACACAAATAAATAGTGCGCAGCTTAGCGCTGTCCATCAGCCTCATGCACTCGCTGCTAAACGTGCTGATGGAGGACAAACAGTAACTCTGTTTATCCATCTGTGGCCAGTTTGGTTCTGACTGACCCGGTTCTGTTTCCTGCCTGCAGGTCGTCTGACGGACCGGGTCAGGCGGGTCGGCCGGGTCGCCGGTCCGTGACCTCTCTCAGGTCGGTGAACCGCACTCTGGACGTGGGGCTTCCCAGCTCGTCCTCCAGGGACGGCGGCAGGTCGGGGGACGGCGTGGGCGGCGCCCTGTTCCGGCTGACGGGCCGACCCGTCTGCCGGGCCGTCCTGCTCACCTCGGTGGTGATGATGATGGTCCTCCTCACCGGAATCGTCATCTACCTAATCACCAGCAAAAAATGACATCACTTCCTGTCTGCTGGGAGGAAGAAACTGAAATATGAATAATCTGTTTTAACCCTGAAGCTGAGCGGGACGCAACGGACCTTCATCTTCCTCCTCTGGGTCAGAACCACCTTCATCTTCCTCCTCTGGGTCAGAACCACCTTCATCTTCCTCCTCTGGGTCAGAACCACCTTCATCTTCCTCCTCTGGGTCAGAACCACCTTCATCTTCCTCCTCTGGGTCAGAACCACCTTCTGAATGATGATGATGATGATGATGCTTCACATGTGGGAAGACTTCAAAGGAAGAGCTGCTGCAGTGAAACTGATCACTTCCTGTTTTTATGTAAACGGGTCGATCCCAGGTCACAATCCGGTTGATCAGAACCGGGTCAGAGTCGGTCCAGTTTCCTTCCAGGTGAATCTAGAGGAACCAAACATGATCTGCTTCCTCTTCATCGTCAGGATCCGATCGGCTCGGCTCACGTTTTCACCTCACTTGGTTCTGCTGTTCTGCTGGCTCCAGTTCTGTTCTGGTTCTGGGTTCTATTCTGGTTTCGGTTCTGGTACCGGTTCTGTCTATGGGTCCGGTTCTGGTACCGGTTCTGTTTCTAAAGATAAACTGTTTTCTGCCTCCTGCTGCAGATTTCCCTTTTAGCCAAATGTTGTTGACAGAATCATGCAAACGATCCGGCTGTTCAGACAGAGGCTACACAGAACCAGCAGTCGGTTCCGGTCCGGTCCGACCCGTTTTGGCGGGTTCCTCCAGAAATTTGCCTGGATGTTAAAATATCAATGTTTCCACAGCAGCTCAGAGTTTTATTTCCATAAACACTCGGAGGAAACGGGTCGGTTCTCTGGGCCGGTTCTGAGGGGATGAGTTCATCTGGACGGGTCGGGTCTTTGCATGAACCCGGCGTTTGGACTCTGAGTGATAGTTCTGGTCTTTCTGACTGACCCAGTTTGATCCGAACTTTAAATTGGACCCAACAGAACCAGAACTGATTCGGATGAACTGCTGTGAATATGAAACTTGAGCTGAAATCTGAAACGTGATCCGTCCAGATCGGTTCTGGAGCGCTCTGTCCGGTCCGGTTTTACTGTGCAATGAATTCTAATAATAATGTTTATGAACTTTTAGCGCTGCAGCCACTTTGTTTTTTATCAAATTTAAATGAAGTTCAGGATAATAAATCCAACAGTTTTTTTGGTTTTGACTCAATAAAAACTTTAACTTCTGTAGATTTAAAACATTTTTAAATCCTGATCATTTTTTTTATTTTTCTACATATTTTGTATTTCAACATTTAAACTTTCATGACTGAAATATTGAATGTAAATATCAGATTTAATTCATTTTGTCCACTTTAGTTCTTACTGTAAAGCTGCATGGTCTAGTCAAAGCATGACTGGTTTGGCTGATTGGTCTATAAATTGTCCTGAGGCCTTTCTGTCCTCTGGTGACCTCTGTCCTTTGGTGACCCTGGATGGATGAAGAGACATGGCTCTGAAATGTCGTTTTGTTTCGTCAGAATCTGTTGAGTTTGAGGTTTTTATCGTTTCCTTCGGTTTGCAATAAATGGAGAAAGAAGAGCTTCATGGATTCTGTTCATCTGCAGCAGGAGTGTCAACATCCAGTCCTTAGGGCCGCCGTCCTGCAGCCTTTAGATGAGCCTCTGCTGCACCTGAGCAGAATAATAGGTCGTTGAGGCCTGGAGATCCAGGAGGAGGGAATTAAATCATTTCATTCCTGTGTTTTGTACCTGAGGCACATCTAAAAAGTGCAGGACAGCGTCCCTAAGGACTGGAGTTTGACACCCCTGCTCTACAGATTCAGCATTAAATCATTTTGCTGGGAGATTTTTATTTATTACTAAAGATAATTTATATATTCATATTCAGACATTTATAAAAACTAAACCATTTTCTAACCTCCAGGGTTTTCAGGCTTCAGAAATCTGAGCTTCAGTTTTAGATGTTTCTTTGCACTGAAACGCCTGAATGAATGAATGAATGAATGAATGAATGAATGAATGAATGAATTTAATCCTTTCACCATCTCATAAACTACGGAGGCCTGGCGGTCCAATTTTCATTAAACTCTGAAAAACGAAGGATTCTAGCCGATTCATCCTCTGAAACTGTGAAAACGCTTCTGGTCACATGGTTTGAACATTATGACGATAAATTAATAAATCTATAGATGTAACTTCTTTACATCCTTTATAGTCGTGAATAATTTAATCTGGTTTAATTCCTACAGCCGGTTCCATTCAGTCCAGTTTAATCCCAGATATCCAACATGCATCAGGTTCAGTTTATTATTCAAACTCTTAAAAACATGAAGTTTCATCAAATCGCCGACTGAAGGACAGAGAAGCTGAACTTTACAGGAAACCTGCAGTTTGATGAAGTGTCTCCCCCTGCTGGTGGGAATGAGCCTGCGCATTTCAATCTCTGGTTTTTATTCAGCTTTCATAGTTTGAGGAGAAAAGAAGAAACGCTGACGGATCATGTCATCCATTCATGCAGCGCCGTCTGCCACAGGCTCTTCTGGATGGGAGGCAGCTTCACTCTGCAACACACAGGAAGCGGGTCAGAACCGGGTCAGAACCCTCTGGAGGTTTACTCTGTTACAGCTGGAAATAACCACGTTTCATCCAGCCCCTGAATGCAACAAACTGATGAAGATTTCAGCTCCAGTCCTGTTGAATTGATCCCAAACGGACCGAAACGGTTCTGATCATTCTGGGTCTGCAGTGAATCCAAGCTGCAGTTTCAGGCTTGGAGGATTTTCATCTGCAACGATCCAAAGTCAGAAACTGACCTGGAACCAGAATGGATCCAGATTGATTTGGATCACAAATGATTTTTCTTGATCATCATCAGATCAGCTTTAAAAAAATTAAAGATAAACATTCAGAGATAATCTGGGATTTTATATCATAATTTGCTGTTTGATTCACTGGTTGCAACAGGAAAACAAAATCAATAATCAATAAATGTTTTTACAGAAACTGAGTTTTTGTTTCCGGATGGAAACCTGATGAGATCAGTCGGATCTCCATGGAAACCTGTTTCTCGGCGTCAGGCTGCGATGGGTCGGCGCGGTTCTGGGCGTCCATGAAGGTCCAGGAACCAGGTAGAGGTCTCCAGGTCTGAGTTTGGCCATGAGGAAGAGCGCCTCCTCCTCCTCCTCCTCTTCCTCCTCCTCTCTGCTGCGGCACAGACAGGACGGGAGCCGTGATTCTGAGTTCTGACCGGGTTCACGGCCCAGCTGATTCCATCCGGTTCTGGTCCCTGCAGACGGTACCTGGCAGGTTCTGTTGGACCGGCGGTCCGGTCGGCGTCCTGCGGCTCCCTGGTGTCCATCAGCCGCAGCAGGTTCTGCAGCCTCGGCTGAGATCCGGGGATTTTCTCAGAGTCCTGCAGGGAGCGACAGCAGAACCGTCACATCGCCGATCGGGTCGCATCACGGACGCTGACCTCTGATCCGATCAGACGGCGTTACCGTGGCGATGGCCGTGAGGACGGACACGGCTCTCTTCAGGTCTCCCTCCAGGTTCCTCCGTCGGCTCCGTTCCTTCTGCAGACGCTCCAGCAGCAACGCAACGGCCGACGACTTCTGACGGCATTCCTCCGACCCGGAGAGCAGACAGGACCTGGAGGAGAGAGGGAGGGAGGGAGAGAAGGAGGGATAGATAGGGAGGGAGGGAGGAAGACAGATGGAGAGAGAAGGATGGAAGGAAGGAGAAAGTGAGGGAGGGACAGAGAAATTGAGAGAATGAGGGATGGACGGAGAGACGGGTCGGTCCATGATAAAGTTCTGGTCCAGATGTTTCCATCAGACTTTCAGTGCAGATAAAAGCCGCTCGGTGCCGTGACCTCTGACCTGTAGGCCTCCTGGTAGGCCAGCAGGCTCTCCCTGGAGTTCTGCAGCTCGTTGATGTGACCCGACAGCAGTTTGCATCTCCTCCTCAGCTTCACCGATTCCTGGTGGAGAAACAAAGAGAATCAGAGAATCAGAGAGAGCTCTGGGGATTCAACCCTAACCCTAGGGTCAAGGGTTAGGGTTGACCCTAGGGTTAGGGTTTCAGATGACAGAGGGTCCAACACAGCAGCTGGTGGAGTTAATCTGACAGATTATAATCCCAGAGCGCAGCAGCAGCCGTCCTCCTACCTTCCTGAGGACGTTGATTTTCTGGTTCATCTTGTGGATCATGACTCGGATCTTGATGGACGTTCGAGAAAGGCTCTTCACTCTGTCATGCTCCGCCTTCTTCCTCCACAGCAGCACCAAACTCTGGAGCGACAGAGACTCCACGTCGGCGCGCAGCCGCTGGTGCTCCACGGTCTCCTCCTGGATCATGGCTTTGACCCGCTGCCTGATGCTGTTCATCACGTTCTGCTTCATCTCGTCGATGATCCTGAGAACAGAGACGCTGAGAACCTGCAGCGGCCGGGAGGGAATCGCTCCCTGAGCCGCCGCCACTCACTCCCGCTTCTCCAGGTACATCTTGTTGATCTCGGCGGCGTGGTGCCTCTCCAGGAAGGTCAGCTCCTTGTCCAGAGTCTTCTGCATGTCGATCTTCCGCTCCTGTTCGATCAGCTGCAGCCGCTGATCCTCTATCCTGGCAGCTGATGGGAAACATGAAATATGTTTTTATGTCTTTCATCCTCACAGCCTCTCAGTTAACATCAATAATAAACAGGATTATTTATGAAAACTCTGAGCAAGCTGGAGATTCAACAAACTCCACAAACTAAAAGTTCATCTGTCCAAATATTTGCTTTGTCATGATTTATAATCGATATTATCTTCTGCTTTATTGACTTTATAAGTATTTCAATCTAAATGAACCTCCTGACGCCATGTTTGAGTCCCAACAGGAAGTTAATCTGATTGGCTGACATTGGTCTTAACTTTGCTACACTGCCCCCTATGGGTTTGATTGAGACAGTGTTGAACTTATGTTTTCTTATATTTCTGCTTTTGCAGTGTTTGGATGGTCACATAAAGTTGATCTAAATTCTGTTCCAGGTTTTAACAGAATATTTTTACAGTTCATTTCTGAAGAGGCTCCAAAGCAACCAGAACTTCATCAGAACTTCATCAGAACTTCAACAGAACTTCATCAGAACTTCAACAGAACAGCTCGGTCACTTTAATCTGACAGATTAAAATGTTGCTGAGTTTCTATGTGTGTTTATTCCATAATTCAGAAGGAGGAACTGTTATTAAATTGAAAATGTTGTTTATTATTGCAACATGATTTTTCAATGTGATAATTAAATGTTTAATCTGACCACTGGAATATTCCCACCACTCTCATTGGATATAATCTGGGCAGTAAAACCTCCTCTGCAGCCTGATCCTCACCCTGGTTGTCTCTGTCTGAGCTCAGCTGGTCCAACGTGTCCTGCAGCTCCTGTCTCTCCGCACTGAGCAGCTGCTCCAAGGATTGGGTTTTGTGCCGGTCGCCCTGCAGCTGCCGCTCCACCTTGGCCTTCAGCTCCTCCTCGTCCTTCTCCAGCACAGACAGGTAGTGCTGCAGGTACTCCAGGATGTCGTTGGTGTCCTTCTGCAGAGCGCCGGACTTCAGGACGATGTCTTTCTTCTGCTCCTTCAGTTCATCACACTGAAGCTGGAACCTGCAGACATAAAACAAAAACATTTGTTGTTGACAGACGTGATGATTCAACGGTTTCTGATTAACATGAAAACAATGAAGACGTGTCCCTCAGACCTCACTTTGGACTGTTGTAAAGCAGAATGTTGCATAATGAAACTAAAACTTTAAGCATTCATAACATTTTTCTCATGTTTTTCTCAGATCGTATTGATCAGGCTGAGTCTGAAGCAGCTGATTGGATCTGAATGTTTGGCTGAAGTTCATTAAACTCAGTGTCCATTGTTGTTAAAGTGTTATGTTTCCCAGCAGCTAAACTGAACCTGAATGTGTAACTCAGAGTTATGAAGTGTCTTCAGATCCTCTCACTTCTCCAGCTGTTCGTCCAGGAAACTGATCTGCGTCAGAAACAAACTC